CCTCCACCCCCTGACCTCCCCATTACTAGATGTCATCTAAAGTATATATCTCTTTTCTTTTTAAAAAAAAAAGATTTTATTTATTGATTTTTTTAGAGAGAGGGGAAGGGAGGGAAAAAGAGAGGGAGAGAAATATCAATCAGTTGCCTCTCGCACATGCCCCAACTGGCAGCCAGGGCTGCAACTCAGGTGTGTGCCCTGAATGGGAATTGAACTGGCAACCTTTCGTTTTGCGGGATGATGCCCAACCAACTGAGCCACAAAAGCCAAGGCAAAGTACATATTTCTATAGCATGCATAGTAAACCCAGTGGGACAGAAGGGTTGAGATGTAAGAGACAATGAAGAACAAAAATGGATAAAATATGTTGGTAAAATTAACTATTGATAATAAAAATAATAAACTTTGTTATATTTATGCTAAGGTTTTAGTCAAGAGTAGTAAAGTAGAAGTTTTCAGTGGTTAAAGATTTATTTATTGTTCCAGAAGAAGGTAAAGATACTGAATAACTTTATAGATGTAAGAAAGAGTAAGAGGGAAGTATGCATGTTAAATTTTTAAGTGGAATCATTAGAACAGTAAAAATAGAATATTACAAATTCCAGACCAGCATAGGGGATGGGGTCAGAGGAGGATATAGAAAATTTGATCAGTCCAGCAGGTGGCAGGAAAGGCAAAATAAAAAAAAAGCAAAGAAAAAAGAATGGGAAACTGAAAACAAACAATATGATGGCAGAGTCTAGTTAGACAGATATATACATTTGTTTCTAGAACGCTCATTTTATTTCATTAGTCTACTTGATTATTTCTCTGCTGATGTCATGCTGTTTTAATTGCTGAGACTTTATAATGGATTTAAATCTTTTAATATTTTATAATGGATTTTGACATTAAAAAAATAAATAAAATCAATCTGCATTAAAAAAAAAAAAGAAAGAAGGAACTCTTGCCTTTTGCAACATGGATGGACCTGGAGAATATTATGCTAAGTGAAATAAGCCAGTTGGTGAAAGACATACCATATAATCTCATCTATAAGTGGAATCTATTCAACAAAACTAACGAACAAAACAAGCCACAGGCACGGAAACATGGAGCCGACTGAAAGTGACCAGAGGGGATGGGGAAGGAGGACAATGGTGGAAAGATGGAGAAGGGACTAAATAATGAACATGTACGAATGACCCATGGGCATGGACAAAAGAGGTGGGAATTGACTGTGGGAGAGCACGGAGGGCTGGGATGGGTGGAGGGGGGCAAAGAGGGAGAAAACTGAGACAACTGTAATAGAATAAACGTGATTTAAAAGTAAAAAAAAAAAAAAAAAAAAAAAAAAAAAAGACAGAGCCCAAATGTGCCACTAATTAAGTCAGATTTTATGGTGTTCCATATATTTCGAATACATTTGTATTCGAAATAGATGGAAACAGTTTATTTTTGTTTCTTTTCAGAGACGTAGGTTCTGGATCTTCTGCTATCTCATCTGCTCAAGGATTTTGCTCTTGTGATTATTCTGTTAATCCCTTTCACCAACAAGTCCTCCTTTCACTTCATCATTCCCATTTCTGTGTAAAATACTGTCAGTCTTTCCTTTATTCCATTCTTCATTCCAGCTCCTGCTGAGAGTGCAAATATTGCTTTTACTTTGTCATCTCACGTTCTCACTTCATCCTGTTGCCTCTGTCCTCACTCTTCCTGCTGGTACTGCCGTTACCAAAAGACTACTAGCGATGTCCATTTTGCTAATCTGGTTTTCACTTCTGTGCTTTTCCCCCCCATGAAAATTACACAAACATCTACTCATAAATTAAATATTATTTTAAACATTGAGGCAGTAAAGTGGTTAAGACATAGACTAATCAGCCCCAGCTGGTGTGGCTCAGTGATTCGAGTGCCAGCTTGTGGCCCAAAGGGCAGTTCGATCCCCAGTCGGGGCATATGCCTGGGTTGCAGGCCTGGGTGCAGGTTCCAAGTGGGGGGCACGCGAGAGGCAACCACGCGTTGATGTTTCTCTCCTTCTTTCTCTCTAAAAATAAATAAAATCTAAAATAAAAGACATAATCATAAAGACTTGAGTTTCAGTAACTCTATGTTTAAAATACTAGCTCTGTGACTTTGGGGAAAGTTATAAAACTTCTCTGTGCCTCAGTTTCTTCAACAAGATAAAGATAGTAGTACTTCAGAGCAGCTTTGTGAGGATTAAATTAAATAATGCACACAAAGCACATAGTATGGTATGTCACATGTGACAAATACTTAGTAAATGTTAGTTATAATTAATAAACTCAAATACTATTTTGTTGAATGAGGATATAAATATAAGGGAAAATGTTTTAAAGTTGAGAATGCTGTTATAAAATATTTGATACTTATAAAAGAAAATATTATGTAAGTTAGAACACAAAAATCAACATTTGGGCATTTACCACCCAACCTAAGAACTTTACTTCCTTCCCTCTCTTTCTCTTAATATAGTATTTTCCATGTCTCCTCATGCTTTTGCAAAGAGTAAAACTTTCTTTTTTACAGCCAAGTAGTGTTCCATTGTATAAATGTCCCACCGTTGTTTTATCCAGGCATCTACTGATGGACACTCGGTCTGCTTTTATATCTTGGTGATTGTAAATGCTGCGATGAACAGAGAGGTGCTTATGTTATTTCAAATTAATGTTTTGGGTTTCTTCAAAACCTTACATTCTTAATAACATTTTCCCTCACCCTGTGTATCTAGTCTGACTGTCCTGAATTTTGTGCTTGTCTCTTGATTTAAAAAAAAAGAAAAAGAAATAGATTTAGATATTTGTATACATATCCCTAATTGTTAGTTTAGCTTTTTTTATATACTTTTATTGTAATAGCTTATAGTATGTATTCTTTTGTGATTTACTTCTTTCATTAAATTTTGTTACTAAGATTTATCTTAATGGCATATGTGTTTGGTTTGTTAATTTTCATGGAGATAATTATAGCATGTATTTTTCAGGGCAGTGTGAATTAAATGAGTTGGTACATGGAAAAGTACTTAGTGCTTGGCATACAGTAAGGGTTTAAAGAAAGAGAGTCATTATGTTTATTATTATTCACTGCTGTGTGAAATGTTATATAAATAGAATAGAGTTAGTTTATTATTTTGCTTATGGGCATTCGGATTGTTTTCAGTTTAAAACAGCACAACATAATGCTGCTCTGCACATTCATATACCTCTCTTCTTGTACCCTCAGGCAGGTTTCTATAAACTAAGTATTGGGTTGACTAAAAAGCCTGTATGGTTTTTCTCATAAAATAGAAGGCTCATTTTTATTTTCACCAATAATTATTGATTTGGATATTTTGAGTATGTTGGCTATCTCCTTTATGGTATAATGTTGATTGTTCTCAGTTAATGACTCGATCGTTATCAGCCTCAACTGGTGTACCTGATTGTCCAGCGAGAAATCTTCAGCGTGAAACTTTGCAAACCACTTTTGACATGTTCGATCAGTCTCAGCACCTTCTCTATACACCACACAAATCTTTTTCTGCATTTCAGTTGCATTTTTACCCTTCTTGAAATAATAAAACAATATGCCAAAAATATTGTGTATTTTCTTTCATCTTCAATGTTGCATATTTTCTTCTATCTTCAATGTTGTGTATTTTCTTCCATCCTCAATATTAAAATGGCTACAAAAAATTCACCAATTTTGATGTTTTTTTAAGTGCACCTGCTATGACAGCTGTCACAATACACTCTAACAAAATTGTGTTGAATGAAATTAAAGACAACTAAGCACTACTGGATTTGTCTAAATGGAAAAAACCAAACGAACTTTTTGGTCAACCCAATATATTAACCTAAAAGTGGAATTGCTAGGTCGTGAATTAAGCTTGTGTTCCGCTGTTAGATAATGCCAACTTGTTTACCATGGTATTTTTTTTTACCTTTTGCCTGTTCATGTTTCCATCAGCAGTGTCTGAGTTCCCGTTGCTTCGCACCCCTAGGTATGCACCCGTTAGGTATGGTCATGCTTTTTCAGTTTCCTAACCTGAAGATTATAAAATGGTGTCTTGTTGTTTCATTTGTATTCTATTAATAATGAGGCAATCATCTCGCTTCTTCCAGTTCATTGGATATTTGTATTTCCTTTTCAATGCAAATTTGTTCTTGTCCTCATTCCATGTATTCTGTTGGGTTATTCATCTTTTATTCATCTGAAGGAATTCTTAAATATTCTTGATACTTATCCTTAGTTGATTGTAGTTGTTGGAAATACATTCTCCCAATTTGAGGCTTTTCTTTTCTTTCTATTTTTTAATGGGACCTTTTGATGAGCAGATGTTCTGAATTTTAATTTAGCAGAATTTGTCCATTTTTCCTTGTGTTGTTTATATCTTAAGAAATCTGACTCTACTGTAAAAATAGGCAATATTGTCGTCTGTTAGGCATGTAAATGTTGTGACACTAAAGACACTATCTATCTGGAATTGGTTGTTGATGATGTAAAGTAGATTCTAACTTCCTCTTACTTATTTACTTATTTGGAGGGCAGAGGGTTGTACAGTAGTTTCAGTAACTGTTCAGTAACAGTTATTCATTGATAGCATCTCTAGAAGAGTCGTAAGTAGAAGAATCAACAGTGTGTCTGTCCTTGTTGTCCTTATTTTAAAGAAATGCATCTAAAGTTTCCCCATTGCATACAATGTTTAGGTTTGTTTTACCCTTTAAAGAAATTCCTTTTTGTCCTAATTTTCTGAGAGGGTTTGAAACTTGCATGGGTGTTGAATTTTATTAAAACTTTTTTAGCTCCTGTGTGACTCTATAGTTTTTCTCCTTTCATCTGTTAAGAGGGTAATCAGTAGCTTTTCTAATGTTTAACCGCTTTTAACATTCCTAGGATAAGTCCAATTTGCCTATGTTATATTACTTTTTTTATACATTGCCAGATTGTTCGCTAATAATTAAGTGTATAGGTTTGTATGAAGCCATTGATTAATGTAAATGTTTTAATAAACTTTACAGCAGAAAATATAGGTGAAGAACTCAAAGCTCCACTGATTAAGCAAGACCCTCTCCAAGTAAGAGGTAAATATATTTTATTCTGTTTTTTATTATAATTGTGTTTTAAAATTAAATATATGAAATTAGTTTATATAGTGTTTTTTATAGTTATATTATTATGAGGGTTAGGGTTATTGACCATAAGGATTTATTCTCCTATTTATGAGCTAATTTTCTGCTGAAGTTAACTTTGCATTTTGGTCACAAATTTTGTGGTAATTGCCTTTTTTTCTCAAAAGCCCAAGGAAAGGAGTAATGGCAAAGAAAAACTATTAATTACCTTATCATTTTACAAAAGTAATGTGATTAAAGAACCAGAGGTCAACACCTTTAAGCTACAACTTTTTCACATCTAGAAAGAGTCTGGACAGCCTTGTCCAACTTTCTTTTCTAGAAGTGATTGTGTGTAAGGAATCTGCAGCTTGGTTCTTTATAACAAGCTGTGGCTTCCGATGAGCTGAGGACCCCAGTCGAAAGCAGCGTGTTTCTCAGAGGTAGTAACTCTGTGATTAGGAGCACTGTGGTTTTGGAGTCGGACAAAACAGGATTTAATCTGTGGCCCCAACATGTACCAGTTCTATGACTTTGGGCAGTTTGCTTGACTTCTCTGAGCCGTAGTTTTCTCCTCTATAATATGGTACTAAAAATGGGATTTCTTTGGTAGGATAATTTTGAAGATGATACCTGGTACACAGTTACAATTAAGAATAATTACTCTGATAGCAGACATTATCATTAATAATCTGGGCCAAATACAGGCCAAACAGAGATTTCTAGCTACTTTAAAGAAATTTTTAAAAAGTAATTTAAAAAAAACCCTAATCTTTTCAAAGACAGATGTCACTTCCTTCTCTGCTCCAGAGAAACTAATCTGGATTTTGAGTTTTAGGATAATTGGAGTAGGCAGTTCAGACTTGAACTTATGTAAAAATAAACCTGAACTTTTTAATATACTGTTTTTTTCAAATAAGATTGTTTGGTTTTCTTTTAAATCTTCAACCCCAAGGGTATGTTTTTATTGATTTTTAGAGAGGAAAGGGGGAGGGGGAGAGACAGAGAGAAACAGCGATTGGTTGCCTCCTGTATGCACCCCAACTGGGGAGTCAAACCCACAGCCTAGGTATGTACCCTGACCGGGAATTGAACCCACAATCTTTTTTGGTATACGGGGCAATGCTCCAACCAACTGAGCTCCCAGCCAGGGCTCCAATGAGGTTTTGGTTTTTATACTGAACTTGATTTTTGCAATGTTAAGTGTTATTTGTGCTTTTGATTTTAAAAGTTCATGAATGAGTCCTTTTACCTACTGCAATTATAGATAATTTTAGTCTTAAGTTACTCTTTGAATTTAAAAGTAGAACAGAAAATTTATTAATTAATAGATATGAGAATAGAATGTGAGGTGACTAGGTGTCAATTTGTAACAGAACACGAGTTTATTCTGTTATTTTGCTCTTGCTCTTCGGATATTTGTTATTTATCTATGTCATGTGACCAAAAGTCTCACTTTAATATGATTTATAAACATAGACCAATATTGAATGTAATTTTTAACTCACAGATTATAATTGATGCCCAATTGGTATTTTATTATTGATGTCTCTGGCTTTTTTGTGGAAAGTTTAATACTTGATAATAAGTAAATAATTTAAAAGAAGGTAGTAGTATTTTACCTGTACTCTGTAATAAACTTTATTTAATTTTTAATTGATAAAAATGTTCCTTTTGTTTACTTCAGCTTTGTTGCATTATGTGAAGCAGTTCAGTGGCTTTCAAACTTTTTTGTCTGCAAGCCACTTAAGAAATACTGCTTAATAAGTTAGTTTATATATACTAACAGATTATTGTAGAATTTTTTTTTCTGATGCCATTTATTGCATCAGGAAACATATTTTTATTTTATGGAATTCATTAGTGAAGCCTTGACATATGTTTGTCTTTAATATGACTTTTGTTGTGCATATTTTTTGTTTTCCACTATTTTTTGGTTTTAGTCAAAGCAGTCCTTAAGAAGAGGGAGTATGGACCAAAGTACACTCAGAATAATTTCATCACCGGAGTCAGAGCAATAAATGAGTTCTGCCTTAAAGCCAGGTATAGTTTTGTTTGTGTTTTTTTAAGATTTTATTTAATTTTTAGAGAGGGAGAAAGAGAGGGAGAGAAACATCAATGTGAGAGAGAATCATCAATTGGTTGCCTCTTGCATGCTTCCTGACCAGGGACCAAACCCAAAACCAGGCGTGTGCCCTGACTGGGAATCGAACCAGTTGACTCCTTGCTTTGCGGGATGACACCCAACTGAGCCAAACTGGTCAGGACATATTTTTTAAAAAGTGATAGTTTGGTCTCTAATTTTAAATAGCCATTTATTTCTTAGAATGCATTACCTGCTACCACCCTTGTGGAAACTCTCCCATGGCTTCTTCCTAAATTAAGTATTTTAATTTATTTTTAAAAATGTTAAAATTATTTACTTACTAGATTGAATTCTGCTCCAGCATGAGCAATTTCCGTCTTTCTGGGCTTCTTAAATTCAGAAAGGCAAATTTTCAAAATCTGTGTGTCACACAAGATCTTAAGGGCTTTATTGTTATGTTCACGTGTCAGAATTAATCAATATTAAGATTATTTGCATACTTTTGTTTGATTTTTTAGTTTTGTTTTTTTGGCTGGCAGAATTGAATAGTTCTTAATTTAGTTAGTACATTTATATTTATATTCCATGCTTGGTTTCTGTTGAGTATACAAGGGAAGGGACCCCCCAAAACCCCCAGAATTATCTTCTGGAAAACAGGCCCCTTATAGTACAGGCTTCCCCCCACTAGGTGAGTTCTAGGAATACATCTGTATCAACTGGCACAACTAGCAGCTGGCATTGTCAGAGGCTGTATTCGGCTTTGGTGAATTTTTTTTTGAAGACTCTTTTAATGGTTAGCCCATTTTTGTGATGGGTGATTCACAAGCCCATCCGCCCATACCGTGCTGAGTGTTAGGCAATTTTGGATCAAACACACAGCATGACCACCCCACTCCTCATCCCCATGCCCTGCCCTGCCTGTTCACCCAGTCTTGCCCACATGAAAAAAGTCCTTAAAGGGAAATGTTTAGCTGATGCGGACGAGGTGAAACAAAAAATGGCAGAAGCACTAATAGGCATCAAAGTTGAGAAGCTCAAAACTGTTTTCAACAGTGGTAAAAAGTCTCAATAGGTGATTGCATCAAATGGAGAGTATTTGGAAGGTGATGGAAGTTTAAACATATAAGAATAAATACACAATTTTTTATAAATAAATTCTGGCGGGTTTTTGGGTCCCACCTCATAATTATTTTTACTTCTATCTGATCTCTAGTTACTAATTTTCTTGTAATCGTGGAGATTTATTGAGATTATATTTGTCATCTATTTTAAAAATTTCCCTTTATATGTTTACCTAGAAAAGCCATATTTATGTGGAAGATTTCTTAGTCTTTTAGAGATATCAGATGTGACCTACCCCATTTTTCCCTCTCCTTCATGGTCATTCTCTGTGGTACATTATCAAGAAATGAGGAATCCTACAGTCAGTTTCATAACTTATATAACTAGTAAAGTGATAATGATAACATTGACGTGAAACTGTATTCTATTTCATATAGAGTATTTCATTTAGTTTTCACAAAAATTTTGTGAATTAAGTAGGCTAGGTATTGCTGTTTCCACATTATATGCCAGGAAAAATAATGAAGATGGCAGTGATGATCCAGCTCATTTCATGAGTCAGTGACAGAGTGGAAACTAGAATACTCTTTAATATTTGGCCCAGACTGTTTAACCTACATGTGGTAGTTGATTGTTGATATTTTTTAACTCCAGATTTAATTTAGAACTTAATATTCCATAGTTATCATGTTTTAATTTATAGGTCTTTTCATTGCCATGACAAGATTTTATTAGGAACACCAATAATTAAATATAGAATTACTATTTAATAGTGACTTGATGAATATATAAACTTTTCCAAATTTAAGAGAAGGGAAAAATGATTAAAGATCATGGGATTGAAATATTATCTTTGTAACTTTGAATGACACTAACACTTAATCTGGCTGTAAACAAACAAGGCTGCAAATTTTAAATTTAAATTCTTAAATAGAGGGATGATACTCTAGTCCATGATTTTTTCTAGTTTTCACATTTTTTGAGAATACAAGACATCAGACATTGCAGTGGTGTGTCCATAGCAGAAGAAATGTAAGCACTTACGAAGGAACTTAATCTCTACATATATGTATGGTATCTGTATTGAGCATCAAGAATAATTTTTTTTCACTGTCTCTAGACCAGATTTTGTATACAAAATGCAGTCTTTATAAACTCATCTTTAAGTGCAACACAGATCTATGATATTTTAAGATGAGGATCAGTGTAGTGGCTTTTATATGTTCTTAATAATCCTTTTAAGTACATAAACTGTATGAACACTGTCTGAATAAATTCAACATGTTTCTTTCTTCAGTGATCTGGAACAACTTCGAAAAATCAGACAACGAAGTCCTCACGAGGATACTGAGTCCTTTACCGTGTACTTGAGGTCCGATGTGGAGGCAAAGTAAGGACATAGTTCCTGTAGAATAAAAATACAAGCTGAATTTGAGATTAATAAAAACACATTTTAGACAGGCCCAGAATTTTTTAAATGACATATTTTAGTTTTTTGAAGTAGAACATTTTCATATTGGCAAATTTATCTGGGAGTTACTAGTATGTATTACCTAACTAAAAATATCTTAATTTTTAAGAAAATTTGCTGTTAAATTTACTGTTTTGTTTAAATTTAGTTTAGAAAAGTTTCTTAAGTGCTTTATGTTGTTTTTTTCTAAAGGACCTTAAGCTTTGTTGTAAGATTCTATATAGTTATATGCTTTATCTAGATTTAAATATGATACAGTAGAGTCATTAAAATTGTTTACTGTTATGGGTCATGTATTCATGAACAGATCTTTGGAAGTTTGGGGAAGCCGTGAAGCTCTTGCCAGAGAGAAAAAACTGCGTAAGGAAGCAGAAATAGAATACAGAGAAAGTAAGTATATTCAGTTTAAAGCTAAGTTAAGTGGAAAGTACAGGTGTGCTTCAGAGATACTACGGGGTCGGTTCCATACCACCACAATAAAGTGAGTATCGCAATGAAGCAAGCCATAATCTTTTTACTGAGGAGGGGCGGGGAGGGTTGCCTTCAATTTCTAAAAGAACACATTTGTGAAGCGCAGTAAAGTGAAGCTTAATAAAACGAGGTGTGCCTGTAACTCATAGGTAAGAATAGTACCTATAATTAGGGACTCCGTTCTGGTTGCATACCTTTGCCTTTGGCTTTTTTTGGTTGTAGCATATAGCAATATCCATTTTGGGATTCAGTTACTTTATAAAAACAATATCTATTTGTTTGTTTTATCCTCTATAGCTTTTTAGAGATGATGGGAGGAAGTGAAGTTAGTTTGTGGTTTCTGTCAGACCTTATTAGTAAAACGATGGTCTGATTTGAAGATTATGCTTGTTCTAAAAGCGATAGGATAGTGCTTTTTTGTGGAAAAGTCTGTTAATTCAGCTACCAGATTTCTACTTTAATTAACTAATTCAGATATTTATCAGACATCTATGAACTAGAAACTGCTTGGTGCTTCAGATTTAAGATGCATATAAGACCTCTAGGGAATTGAACAACTCAGTGTTGTAGTGACAGAGCCAACCTTTATAGAATTAGGATTAATATAATATGAAATATGGCCCTGACCAGTATAGGTTAGTTGGTTGGGCAGCGTCCTCCAAAGTGAAAGGTTGCATGTTTGATTCCCGCTGGTGGTACGTGCCCAGGTTGCAGGTTTGGCTCTCAGTTGGGGCATGTATGAGAAGCAGCTAAACAATGTTTCTTTCTCACATCTGTTTTGCTCTTTCTCCCTTTCTCCCTCTCTCTCTAAAAATAAGTAAATTTAAAAAATTTAAAAAACATATGAAATGTTTCAGGTAATTGATTTACATATATACGTATCAATGACAAAAGTAATACATGCTTGTGATTTTAGAAAGTATATAAATATAAAGAATAAAAAGTCTTTTTTTATTTCCTCTAATACTTTCTCATTTTTCGTCCGGGCAGTAACTGTTGAAATTTCTTTCTGTGTGAATAATCCATCAAATATTGATAATTATAAAACATTTACATGATTCCAAAGTCATATTTTACAAGACAAAATACTTCAGAGAAATTTAGTTTCCATCCCTGTCCCTTCCACCCTGTTTCCTTTGTTTAGCATATGTAACCATTTAAAAAGTTAGTTTTGGGGTTATTTTGTCTACTTTTAAAAAATATAAAATAACATACATACATACATATATTACATACAAGATATAAAAAAATAGCGTACCACACCCCTTGCATAAATAAGACATACTAAACACACTTTCTGTCCTTGATTTTTTTTTTTTTTTTGTGAGTATGTCATCCTAGGGAGCTTTCTGTAGCAATAAATGGAGACTTTTTCTTTGTTCCTTTTAGTAATACTCCGTTTTGGGGGGGTGTACCATAGTTTATTCTATCGTTCCCCTATAAGTTGTTTCTGGTCTTTTGCTGTTAAAATAATGATGCTATGAATAGCTTTGTCTATATAGTAAAGGAAACATTTAAAGTAACAACTTGAGAAAATATGATAATATGAAAATAATTTTGCCCTGTATTTTTAAACTTTGAGTTAAAATTGAAGAATCATTTTTTTATATCAGGCTTAAATAAATCATTGATTTTAGTTAATTTTGAGGTGAGCATCTTATCAAACTGTCCTTACCTCATTGCAAATCCAAATTTCCACCTGCCTTGTTTTTTATTCTGGCAAAAAAAAATGCAAAATAAAATTTACCATTTTAACAATTTTTTTAAAATTATGTTTTATGGATTATACTATTACTGTTGTCCCAATTTCTCTACCTTCCCCCCCCCCCCAGTACCCTATTCCCCCGCCTCCTCTCCCCTACCCCCCTTCCTTCCTCCTTCCTTCCTCATAGTAGCCGTTCTCATGGGTGTGAGGTGATATATCATTGTGGTTTTGATTTGCAGTTCTCTAATGATGCATGATATGAGCATCTTTTCATGTGCTTGTTGGCCGTTTGTATATTATCTTTGGAAAAAGATCTATTCAAATCCTTTGCCAATTTTTTAATTGGGTTACAAATCCAGATTTCTTACAATAACCTGATACTTTTTTCTGGTAGCAAATGAAGCATATGTAACATAGTCTTGAAGAGAATAATTGTATTAATCTAAAATATGATTGATAAGGATACATATAAGCTAAATATTTTTTAAATTTTTTAAAGTTAATTTATTTTTCCAAATACATTTGTCTCTGCCTTCCCCCCACCACTTTCCCCTGCCCCTCCCCCCTCTCCCTCCCTCAATCTTTAAATATGTTTTGTTATTCTTTTCTTATAGGGCTATTTAGAAACCAAAAAATATTAAAAGAATATAGAGACTTCCTGGGAAACACCAAGGTAAGGATATCTTTCTGATGATGTGCATGTGTTACACAGTGAAACTCTAGTGTCAGTCCATTGTGAAATACCAGCATGTCTGTGATCCTAATTCAGGATTTCCTTGATGACATTGTAATTGACTGAATTATAGTCTATTTGCTTCTGTCCAATTTTTGAAATTTTAAAAAATTGGGACATAATTTCTCTTTAAATTTAGGACTGTGTTGTAAACCATGAGTACATAAATAAAGGTGAGGGAGAAGACTTTATTTTCTCAGTTTTTTAGCAAGATTTAGCTCTCTCATATCCACCTTTAATTTTCTTTATCCTATCTCCTACTCATAACTCTGGTTAAACATGTAAAGTGCCAGTTCTCTGCTTATACTCCAGAAGTTCAACCCCTGGAGGACAAAATTACACAGCTCTTTTTATTGTTCTTTCTTTGTTATATGAGTATACAGAATCAGTGTACACTCAATGTTATTTGACAGTCTTTCTAAACTCCCTTAATATATTCCCTTTCCCACTCTGAGATAGCTATTGAATTTTTTCCTCTCTTTTCAAACTTCCTGCCTTACTCTTTACTCTTTTTTTTTAAGTGATTTTAAGAGGTGGGGGCAGAGGGGAGAAACATTAATTTGTTGCTCCACTTATTTCTGCTTTCATTGGTTGACTTTTGTATGTACGCAGACTGGGGACTGAACCCTTAACCCTGGCATATCAGATGACACTCCAACCAACTGAGCTACCTGGCCTGGGCTCTCACTCTTTGCTCTTTGGCTAATGATCTTGCTTCATATTTCATTGAAAAAATAGCTTAATCTGATAAATGTACCTCACTTTGTATCGCCAGATTTATTAACTTATCTACATGCATGCTAGAATACTGTTGTTTTCCTTCCAACTAGAAGAAATTAATACTGAAATTTACCGTTACCATTCTACCTCTTATTTTCCCCTGGATCCTTATCAGTTGGGCTTTCATCTCTACCACTGCACTGAAATGGCTTTTACCAAAGTCACCAACATCACCAACATGCATAGGCAGAGTCAACTTTGCATTTAAATGTAGCTGGAAAGTATCTCCTATCAAGGAGTGAATGTCCTATCTGGAGAAAGGCTAACGGCAAATTGTTTTCTTTCTTCTGAGTTATACTCAAGACATTGCAAAACTTAGAAATTGTCAACAATGAAATGCTTTTTCGTCCCATTCATTGTACTCAGAACTTCTTAATTTCCATATCCCCTTTGAGCTCTATGTTTGTGGCACCCGAGTGCTGCCCCGAAGGTGTGGATTCTCTTTAGTGGCAGAACCTTCCGTGGGCCAGCACCTTCAGTGAGAGCTATTTCTACTTCCTCAAGGCCACTGCAGCCTGAGTGCCAGGGGACAAAACTGCTGTAAACCATGGGGCCTCACGAAGAATAAACTCTTGGCCAGAGTTTGGCATGGCCTCACGAACAGCCTAAAATCTCACTCTGTTTTCCTCCACTGTTTCTCAAACCTCCAGACCAGTGCTTTCGATCTTAAAGACTTCTTACTTAGATGTGCCCAGTAATTTGTAGCTAACTTAGCCCCTCTTGCCCAGATACAGAGCCATGGAAAAACAGAAAAGGTGTATGAAATCCCTTAATAAAGGAAGGAGCTAAGCATACCCAGCAATCTCTCCCAGACTTACCAGCTTACCTGTCTCATGAACTTAGTCAGTGTCCAGAGGCCACTGGCGAGGAGAGCACGGTCATGTGAAAGAGGCCAGCGTTATTGGGAGCGAGGGGGGAAGACCAAAGCAACGAGGAAGAAATGTTCAGGTGCCCACCACCATAGCATGTGTTCCTTTTCCTGGAACACCTTGATCTCTAGAAGGCTAAGACAGTCTTTCTCCTGCTTTTCCTCTTCTTTAATTCTTCCTTCTCCCCTGTTGTTTTTGCAAAAGAACCAGCTTTTTTAAACTCACCCTTTAAATGTTAGAGATTCATTTTAGGCCCTTTTATGTTGAAATCCATTAGCAAGTCTTGCCCTGGTCGGTATGGCTCAGTTGGTTGGAATGTTGTTCCATAACCAAAAGGTTGGGAGTTCGATTCTCTGTCAGGGTACACACCTTGCTTGTGGGTTTGGTCCCTGGTCTGTTTACATATAATCCCCGGTCTGGGCATGTGCGGAAGGCAACCAATCGATGCTTCTGTCTCATGTGGGTGTTTTTTCTCTCCCTCCCTCCCTCTGAAAGCAATAGAAGAGGAAAAATGTTCTTTGGTGAGGATAAAAAATAATATTAAAAATAAATCCATTAGCAAATTCCATTGTCAGTTTTCTCCGAAATAGACACCTAGTATGACTGCCTCTCACCATGTACCTTATTGAAACCTTAGTCATCACCATTCTTACCTAGATTGCCCTCCTAATAGATCTCTTTGCCTTTGCTTTTGCCCCCATAATTCATTCTCTACATCATAAATTATTTTTTTTCCAAACATAAATCAGACTATGTCTAGGATCTGCCTAAAATCATCCAGTGCTTTCTTTCTGCGATTAGAATAAGGTTTATACTCCTTACCATAGTCTACAAAGTCCTGCAAGCTGTGACCCCTGCCCCTTTCTCTGGCCTTAACTCCTACCATTTTCTTTCCTGTCTGTGCTTTAGCCACACCAGACTTTTTTGTTTTGTAGGGTGTTTTTTTTGTCCCTTTTACACACCAAACTTATTTCTGTTTCAGAGATTTTGAACATGCTGTGTATTCTGCCTGAAACATTCTTCCAGATTTCTCTCCTGTTTGCCTCCTCCTTATCATTGAGCTTTTCCCCTGACTGCTCTAGCTAAAATTACCCTTTGCACCATACACCCTCACTCCCCACGTTAGTCTCTCAGTTCTCTGTTTTAGTTTCTTCATTATATTTACCATTGCCCGATATTATGTATTCCTTTATGGATTTATTCTTTATCTTTCTGCACGAGACGGAGCTCTGTCAAGGCAGGGACTCTGTTTTGCTTATTGTCATGTCCCAGCCTCTGGAACTGTGCCAGGCATATAATAGTTGCGCAATAAATATTTCTTGAATAAATGACATAGGGCAGAATACATGAAGTGTTTTAATAGAAATGCAAAGTGCAACATAAATGTGTAGCAGAGGGAGTATTTATTCTCAGTGGGGGACCAAGGAAAGCTTTATATACAAAGGTGACACTTGGCCAGACATGGAAGAGGATGAGTGAAACTTGGCTAGACTGCAGTGGAAGAGGACAGTGTTCCAGGGAAAGGAAAGAACAGGAGGAAAAAACACAGAAACCATATGATTAAGGAGCAGCAAGAAAACATTTAACTCAAAAATATTTTCCCTAAATATGTTTCTTTACTTACTTTATTTCCTTTTGTTTTGGTCTGTTTGGAATTAAACACATTATTATCACTTGAGGTCTTTGGTTTTTAGTCAACAGTCAGGAGTTAAAGTAGAGCAGGAAACATCGGCTATTCCAATGTTCTAAAGTTAAAATGTTGTGCAAGAAATGGAAAAATTTTAGAGTCAATTTTTGTTCAATACACTTGTCTCACTTCATCCCTAGTTTTTATGTAACCAACTCTTCTTTTCTGGAAGTAGGCAGAAATTCCAAGGAAACAATAAACAACTAAGGTTCTGGAAAATGATCCAGATGTACTTTGAATTTCCATCTTTCCACTTTTTATAGAGGAAATTCTGGAAAAACAATTAAATAAGTAACCCTAGATGTTTAGACGTATTGATAGAGGAGATATTTTCTGGTGCATCAGAGTCACTTATAAACTAAAGATTCTAGAGATTTTTAAATTGTTTTTCTTCTATAGCCACGTTCCAGATTGTCATCGGTTTTTCTTAAGGGTCCAGGAAAAGTGGTGATGGTTGCCATTTGTATGTAAGTAATGAAAAATGAGTCCGTTAAAATAAAAATATATTATTTTATGTATATATTCTTGAATGTATAAGTTTATTAGTTGGTAGCTAATAAAGAGTTAGAGGTTTATATTATTTTAGGAGGAAGTTGGATGTCTTTGTTTTTGTCAGTAAATTGATGGGGGAAGAGTCAATGGGATAGATACCCACGTTTGTGCTGTGTATATATTTTTTCTCTTTTATTGAATTTATTGAGGTGATATTAGTTAATAAAATTATGTAGGATGTCAGGTATACCAGGCTATAATAGTTATCTGTATATTGTATTTTGCATTCACCACCCCAAGTTGTGCTGTGTATATTTTTGACGTTGTTAAGTAAGATCTAAGAACAGTTACTATCTGAAAATTCTCTCTTATTTTCATTGAAGGTGATATAACTCTTTTTAAAAAAAAAGTTGAGATAACCAAGGATATTTTTAGAGTAATAAATCAACCTGGATTATAGCTACTGAAGAGTATCTGCACTCTGATTTTTCTCCTAATTACCTCAGTGTAAAACATAGTTGATATTTTTGCCATCTTTTGTCATCTGTCTTCTTGACTCCTATTGTTTGATCTTTTGTCCATTTTGTTGAATAATCTATATAAAAATGTTTAAAAGCATTAATTCCATAATTCATTGGTTTGATATTTTATTTCAAAAATATATTTATTAACATGTGTCAGGAATTGTGATAGGATCAGGAAATACAACGTTATCATCAAGAATTGGAGGGGCACTAAGCTAGAAGGAGTCGTTTGCAATATTACAAATAAGAGGTGATGATGCACTGAACTAAGAGAGTGGTAATAGGGATAGAGAGACCTGGTGAGGTTCAGCAAATATTTAGGATGTATGGAAAAGGACGTTGTCCACACACATTTCTGGACAATTAGATATTGCACCATCACAGAGAGAAGAGGGAGCGCAGTGGGAGCAAAGGAAATGTTGAAGTCAGTTTTGAGTTTAAGTTTTTATAGGGCACCCAAGTAGAGTTGGTCAACGGGATTAATTTTGTTTTTCAGTAAATTGGGGTTAGCAATTAAAGTTTTCTTCATCAGAGGAATGTACCTTAACTGTTCAGTGTAGTACCTGGTACATAAGATGTACTTCATAATTATTGTTAATATATAATGATCTGAAGCTCAGGAAGGAGATTTGGACTAGAGATTTAGAGTTGAGAGTTACTAGTATATAGATGATAATTAAAGCCACGAGAGAATGTGTGTAGTGTGAGGGAGAAAAGCCCTTAGGATAAAAACCTTGATGAAGGCTAACATTTAAGAAATGAATGGAAGAAAAAGAGGCTACCTACTAAAGAAGAGTGAGGAGCAAGGCAGGAAGAAAACCAGGTGCTTCATGGAAGTCAAGGAAGACAGTGATTTAAGAAGATAGTGGCAAATGCTTCTGTGAGATTAAGAAAACTACTAAAATGTTTCTAGGAACTTTATAGCAAGAAATAGTTGGTGGTATTGGAGATACAAGCCATTATTTAGTGCCTTGAAGGTTGTACAAAATGAGGAAAACTGAGAAGCAGGAGCAGATATGATTCTTTCAAGACAAGTGGAGGAAAGGGATGTATAGTTCCCTCATTTATAAAATGAGGATGTTAATATTTGCATAAGAGAGCTATAATAAAACATGGTAAACTGTTAGTATAGTGCCTCAGATAAATCATGCTAGTCATTACTGTTGGAATCTGAGCAGCTGGCTTGCTCAGAGCTAATCATATTTATTTTAACATCTGTGGTCTAGTATGACCTGGGGACTCCTTGTTCTAGATTTGTCTTCACCTATTTAAGTAAACAACTCTTCACCAAAGTTTTGCCTTTGACACTAGTCTACTGGACAATACTGAGTGCAGATCTTCTTCCACCTACCTAAGACACAAATTTTCTTTCCAATTTTATTTTGTTCAAATGTAGAACGTCCTCTTTTCTCATCAATTCTCGAAGTGCACTTAATTTGCTCACACACATCATGTCCCTTCATTTGAGTACTTAATGGTACCATAATCTGTGATTTTCAAATTTGTACCTTTGTTACCTAAAAGATAGTAAGTTCTTGAAGGCTATAGGCTCCTTTTCATTTACTTTGAACACAATCTATTATAGAGGTATATATGGTCAATTAAATAAGCTTTTGGGGAAAATTTTGTCTAAACCAATGCTGAATTGTTTTCTCTTTCTCTCCTAGCAATGGATTAAATTGCTTCTTTAAATTTCTTGCATGGATTTATACGGGTTCAGCAAGTATGTTCTCTGAAGCTATACATTCTTTGTCTGATACTTGTAATCAGGTGAGGGGTGAAAGCTCTTTTCTTGTTAATTTTAAAGTAGTTTTTTTACTGCTTTAATCTAAAAGTTGACCTTTTTAAAAACTGAATAATTCCTGTAATTGTGGAAGAAAAAGAAAATTGTTTGGCTTTTGAATGATGAAGTACATAGAAATATGAGGATGGTTTTTAAAGCAGGTCATTAGGCATTTAGAACTTCCAACAGTAGAATATGAAATATGAGATTATCAGTAAATAAGTGTTTGGGCAGAAGTTTTTGTAGAGGAGATTTTTATATTAGGTGGAAATTTGATCTCTGAATATGAGTTCTTATGACTAAGTGCCAATGAATTTCAGTTTTTTGAATAATGATATAAAGTAATCTCATGTGGTTGGTAAATTAAAATTTCACATTAGACAAGTGTTTTGAATTCCTTTCCTTGAATTTGCAAATGAAGAAATATTTTTATAAAATTAAAATACCTTCTTTGATTCAAATTTTGAATACTACAAACTAAGCCTTTTTAAAGAACACAATAAAAATTTCTGCTTGTATGATTATTTCACTTTTTAAAGAATGTGGTATACTAATAGAATGCCTTTTCAGTATTTATTTATTTATGTATAGTTCTATTAATGTAAGAATGAATTTGGGAGAACTTACAATAAAAGACAACAGATGCAATAAGAATATTTAAGACAAAATTAAAAATAATAAAGTTGTAAGGAGTAGAGAGAGCAATGTTAACTAAAAATTAAACCCCAGAACTCACCTGACTCACTCTCAAATGGTTTGCAAAAGTAAGGAAAGAAATCAAACATTTGCTGTTGGTAGCAACAAATCTCTCCTTTGAATTAAATTTTTGTACAGTAAATACTTAGTAACTACTGTCAATATAATATTTTCCCAGCTGGTTGTGGAGTGGAGGGAAGGGTGAGGGGTTGGAGAGAGAGATATAACACACAATATCTATTTTGTTGACAGCTCATTTGAACTTAAGAAAATTGAAATGCAAAAATATTTGTACATGGATAAAGAGATACATCCAGATTATTAGTTTCATTATTGGTTGTTATGAAAACATTAAAGATAGTTTTCCAGTGTTAGTACTCTAAAGTACTATTCAGGGGTTTAAAATAATGTGTAGATATAGCTATGTACTGACCTGAAATAATAACATGATAATTTGAGTAAAAAGAAATCAAATTGTAAAGCATCATGTAAAGAACTTCTGCTTCTAGCTGTGATGGACTAATGGGGGTTGAACTTCAGTCTTTTGCTGTAAACAAAAAACTAGATAAAATATATGGAACAATGTTTTCAAACTTTGGACAATAGCAGAACAAGACCATTATCTCTGAGAGAAGGGAAACAAATGATTTGAATTACATATGATCTCTCCAGCTTTTTGCTTAGAGGCACATGTGGAATAGTTGAGCAAAGTGGAAGATTAGCAATCTCATTAAGTTGAGAAGGCAGAAAGAGTTCAGTGTGTGAGGAGGCTAGAAATTACAAGGCAGAGTTCCATAGAGGAGCGCAGCTCTAAAGGATCAAGCTGTAACTTAAATTAACTGCCAGAACAAAGCCCTACACTCTAGAAGGAAGAAAACAAAATCCACACACTCAGTATAACATTCACAGTGTTCTGCATTTAATTTAAAAAAAAAAAAGGATTAATTAGCCAAGAAGCAGAAAATTTTATTTATAACCAGGAGAAAAATTGGTCAATAGACACAGATGCAATTGACATATGATAGAATTAGCAGACAAGAATGTCAAATGGCTGTTACAACTACATTCATGAAAGGAAAACATGAGTATATTGACAAGAGTCAAAAATCAAAGTACCTTGACCCCCTCCTCAGACCATATGTAAATTTGAGGTAGGCCATAGGCTCAAGCATAACAGCAAAAACTATGTGGATTCTAGAGAAAACCTAGGAAAATATTTCCTAGATCTTTGGGTAAACAGATTTCTAAAACAGGACACAGAAACAAAACCATAAAAGAAAAAATATTATAAATTAAACCATAAAAATTAAAAACTTTTACTTATTAAAAGACACTCTTAAGAAAATAAATAAGCAGACCACAGATTGGGAGGAAATATTTACAAAGCATATAGTAATCTGACAAAGGACTCCGGTATCCAGGATAAATAAAGAACTTCTACAACTCAATATTCGAAAGACAACTCAATTTCTTTAAGAGACTGTAGTTGAGCAGGTACTTCACAAATAAAGATACATGAATGGCGGCCAATGGACACATGAAAAAGTGCTTATTAGTACCATTAAAACTGCAAGAAGATATCTCTGCATATCTAGTATAGAGGCTAAAATAAAAAACCCTGATAACCAAATGTTGGTAAAGATGTGAAGCAACCAGACATTGCTGGTGGAGTGTAAAATGTTCAAACCACTCTTGAAAACGTCTGTCAGAGTCATGTAAACACATGCCTATTGTCTAATTCAGCGATTCCACTTTTAAGTATTTTCCCAAGAAAAATGGGAATGAATGTCTACAAAGACTTGTATAAGAATGTTTATAGCACCTTTACTTATAATGGACAAAAATCTGAATTCACCCAAATGTCCATCAAAGTGGAAGGGATAAACAGATTGTGGTACAGTATGCTCAAGCAGTGGGTTATTATGTAGCAGTAAAAAATGAAATACTTATCCAGTCAGAAGCATATATGTATCTCCAACAATATGCTGAATAAAAGAAGGCAAACACAATATAGTACTTACTGTGTTATTCTACTTACACAAAATTTTAAATAGAACTTTTTGATCTTTGGTTAAAAAATTAAGAAAATGGTTATTACCTCTGCTATGGGGGAGGACTTGCGAAAAGAGGCACAAGAGAACATTTTTGAGGTGATGAAGCGGTTCTGTCTTTATAGGAATATATGTTTCTGGTGTGTGGATTTTTCACTCAATTGTACATTCAGGACTTGTGCATTTCATTGGATGTGAATTTTAGCTAAAAATTTAAAATTTTCATTGGTGGAAATGTGATTACTGCAATATGTAGATGTTAATATTGAGGAATTAGTTTTGATTTTTAAAAGTATGATCATGGTCTTATTATATTTTCTAAAAGACTTAGGGTTTTTTTGTTTCAGATATTCATCCAAACTAGAAATGAAATGGTGTGATGCTTGGAATTTACTTTAGAGTATTCACAGGGAAGTAGGTACAAATTAGATAAAATAGATGTGGTCATGTGTTCGTAATTGTCAAAGCTGAGTGATGGGTGAATTGGGTTTATTGAAATGTTCTATTGTTGGTTTTCCTTTTTTTTTGCCTTCCATCTGTACGTTAGAAAATGTCCATTAAATAAAGTGAAAAAAAGACATTATAGATAGTAATCATATTTTTTAAAAATGCACACACACATCCCTCTCTGAAATCTGGTACTGTGTTTATATATGAAAGAACATAAAAATTATATTCAGTTGTATATACGGACAGTCTGAAACATACTCCAAACTCTTAAATGGTTCCCTCTCCTCTACTGTTTGAAATTCTTTACAATGAGCACGTATTAGTGTTGTAACTAGAAAAACAAATTAATTTTTGTAACACACTGAACAGCAATAGTTAAATAAATTATTAAGTATTAATGTATATTAATTTATTGCCCACTTGAGTTTGACATGTATTATGTTTAGAAGAAGACAGTCCTTGCTCTGTCTTTTGTAAGCAGGTCATACACACAGAACAACTAGAAAGATATTTTGAGACAACATTTAAGCAGTTGCATGATAGTATGAGGAAAACCATAAAAGGGAAAGATTTTCACAGAAGGGGGAGCATTAAGTATTAGAAATCAGAATTACTGAGCTATTGGATATGTGTATGTTGTTTTTCTTTGTCATTTTCAGATTGAATCCTCCAGATTGGCTTCACCACATTATACTCCCTGTCTTGTTAATGATTATTTTTACCTTTTTCTTTCTTCTCCGTAGGGTTTACTAGCATTGGGCATCAGTAAGTCTGTTCAGACACCAGATCCTACTCATCCGTAAGGAAATTGTCTTTATTTTTTTGTTTGTTTTGGTGGCGGTCATTGAAATAAAAGCAACTGAATTTTAAAAACCTGATTTTTATGTACCTGCAGCTTGTGTTAAAGATTTGGTTATTTCTTCCACTGAAGCATCTAAAATGTAGGACTCACTGCTCTAAATGAACTTCAGATATAATTTGAAAAAGAGTTTAGGTTATTTATATGTTATATAACATGGTTTAGAGATCTTGTTCTTTTCATATTTGTAAATTAAAAACAAAGCACATATTTTGGTCTTAGAGTTGTTTTATTTGGTCAAGGGAAACACGTTTCATACTTAGACTAATAGGCCACTCAATCTAAAAATCTTAGCATTAACTTCTAGTAAATTCATATTTAATCTGTTTTAATCCTCCTGCTGTGATTTGGAAATAGCATTCTGTTAATATTTCAAATTATTTATTTATAAAATGAAGATGCTTTTTAGAATGTATTATTTTGAATCCTACCAGTTTTGATAGAGATTTTTCTTATTATTTCTTCTAGTATAAACAGCTAAAACTTCTGAATTCCATATGTATCATTTTAAAACCTTACTTCAGTAGTAGAATTTGATCAGTCTTTAGGCAAAAAGTATACTTTTATATCAGTAAAGGAGTCTTCCTCTATGCTTTACATAAATGCCTTTCTTGAAAGCAAGACACTGCTGTTTTCATATAAATAATAACATTTTTTGAATACTTTCTGAGCAGTTTCATACATCAAAATTTTAAAAACAGAGTAAACCTTTAAAATTTTAGGTTGTAAAGATTTCTTCTCAAGGTATTTTTCAGTGACCTACTTTCGTGCTGCCCAGTAGAGTTTTTGACAAAAATCTGTTTAATAGTCACTAGCTACATGTGGCTGTTGAGCACTTGAAATGTGGCTAGTACAATTGAAGAACTACATTTAAAATTTTACTTAGTTTTAATTAATTTAAATTTAAATAGCCTTAGTTGGCTAGTGATTTATTTTGGACAGTACAGATCTACTAAGTTAAAAACTTTAATAAGAACCTACAAATTTATTGAAAATACATGATGAAAGTTATGTTGTTTAATTATATCTTTATTTACTTTAATATATATACACACACACACAGACATAGAGTATACAAAGTCTGTACAGAAGGTATCCAGCCATTTAATATGAAAAATAGAGACATTTATTAAAGCAGATACAAGATACAAGCAACACTGTACATAGGACAGTGATGTCTCAGTCCCCTTCAAAGTAGGTCACCCAGTCACCATCAGCTGCTCCATCATATTTTCCTGAATCTATCTGACCGATGGTCTGAAATCTCTTCCCTTTCAAAGGTGATTTTAGTTTTGGGAAGAGCCAGAGTCACAGGGTGCCAAATCTGGGCTGTACAGGGGCTGAGTCACCTGGGTGATTGAAGTTTTGCCAGAAACCTCTGCACAAGACATGATGCATGAGTGGGCGCGTCATGATGAAGCTGCTAATCGCGAGTTGCTCATAGCTGCGGCCTTCTGAATCATCCGAGTAGTTTCCGAAGAGGACTTAAGTTCAAGCTTAACTCAAAATTTGATCCAGATTCGTTGTTCTACTTGCTCAGTCATTTTGAATGGGACAGCCACATAGTACACATGCTCACTCAGGGACGTCTACCACCCCCACAACTAGTACAGTGAAGTCATCATTGTTCCTGCATGCACATTTAAATCCACTGTCCTTGGCTGCCATGTTACATCGATGTCATGTGAACAGTTCTCGTTATATTAACAATGACTGGACTTTTTTCTGGGCAGACCTTGTATATGCATATATGTATATAATCTCCATCTCCTATATTACTTTGGTGGGAGAAAATTTTAGAAGAAAATAAATTTTTCTAAAGGAAGCTTATAGAATATTAACACATCTATAAACTAAGAATTCCCTATGTCAGAATTGCATATTTACAAAAAGAATTTAAAAATCTGTTTTTAATAAGAATTCTTGTTTAAATTTTAATGTGCCAGAAGGGTGCCATAGAATTTTGGTTTGGGAATATATTTTGTAGGAAATATTTTTATCATTGAGTGATTCTTTTCCTTTTATAATATGTCCTATTTTTGAACTTAATGTTCAGTATTTAATTGGTAGATACAGAAATACAAAAGAATGCACATAAAGAACAAAGATGCTTGAAAAATAATTGAGATTTAAAAAATTGTCATAAAAACACCCAGAAAACTGAAGCTCTTAGTCCTAATAATAGTAGTCAGTTGCTGTATGCTAATCTATTTTATGTATAACTAGCAACAAATATTCAGCATCAAATTATACATAATATAAATCATCAAAATAATTTAATTAGAAATTGCATTACAAGGAAATTTAAATGTTATTCTGTTCATTAAACATCTGAATGCATTTTTTAAAATTTAATTTTACCAGCATTTGTGATACATAAAGGTAAGGTAGTTCTACTGAATCAAAATAGACTAAATAGAAAAGGAATTGGCAGATACCTGTATTAAGTTATATTTGTTGTAATTATCTGTTTTCAAAGATCCTTCAGGTTTTTCCACTCTATATGTTGATTTTCTGTTTAGATTTGTGTTTGGCACTTAAACTTTAATATACAACAAGAACATTTTAATATCATAAGAAGTTTTTGTTTTCTTTTTCACTGACCTAGTAAACATATATTTTGAAAAGAAACCTTTTATATTTCTTATAAACTATATTATCATTTTTATTTTCCAGGTATGGATTTTCAAACATGCGCTATATTGCTTCACTAATTAGTGGTGTTGGTATTTTCATGATGGGTGCAGGATTATCTTGGTACCATGGAATTATGGGATTGCTTAATCCTCAACCAATGGAATCCCTCCTCTGGGTAATCTCTCCCTGCTCAATATTTTTTTTTAAGATATTTTATTGATTATGCTATTGCAGTTGTCCAAATTTTCCCCCTTTTGCCCCCTTCCACCCAGTACCCCCGTTCCCCCCAGCCGTCCCTCTCCTTAGTTCATGTCCATGGGTCGTGCATAGAAGTTCTTTTGCTTCTCCATTTCCTATACTATTCTTAATATCCCTCTGTCTATTTTGTACCTACCAATTATGCTTCTTAATCCCTGCACCTTTTCCACCATTCTCCCCCTTCCCTTTCCCAGCTGACAACCCTCCAGATGATCTCTATACCTATGATTTTGTTCCTGTTCTAGTTATTTGCTTTATTTTTTTAGATTCAATTGTTGAAAGTTGTGTATTTGTTGCCATTTTTAATGTTCATACTGTTGACCATCTTCTTTTTCTTAAATAAGTCCCTTTAAAATTTCATGTAGTAATGGCTTGGTGTTGATGAACTCCTTTAGTTTTTACTTTGTCTGGGAAGCACTTTATCTGCCCTTCAATTCTATGTGACAGCTTTGCTGGATAGAATAATCCAGATTGTAGGTCCATGCTTTTCATCACTTTGAGTACCTCTTGCCAGTCCCTTCTGCCTGCAAAGTTTCTTTTGAGAAATCAGCTGACATTCTTCAGCTGAAATCAGGAGTCTGTGGGGACTCCTTTGTAGGTAATGCTCTGCCTTTCTCTTGCTGCTGTTAAGATCCTCTCTTTATCTTTACCCTTTGGCATTTTAATGATGATGGGTCTTGGTGTGGTTCTCTTTGTGTACAGCTTGTTTGGGACTCTGTGTTTCCTGGACTTGTATGTCTATTTCCTTCGCCAAATTTGGGGAATTTTCTTTCATTATTTTTTCTAATAAGTTTTCAATTTCTTTCTCTTCCTCTTCTCCTTCTGGCATCCTTATGATTCAGATGTTGGTACTTTTGGAGATGTCCCAGAGACTCCTTACACTATCCTCATTTTTTTTTTTTCGAATTCTTTTTTCTTCTTGCTGTTCTGGTTGAATGCTTATTTCTTCCTTATGTTCCAAATCGTTGATTTGAATCCTAGCTTCCTCCCCTCTCCTATTGGTTCTGTGTAGATTTTTCTTTATTTCACTTAATGTAACCTTCATTTCTTCCTGTTTTGTTTTGTTTATTGCTGTACTCACTGAGTTCTTTGAGCATCCCAATCTGCAGTGTTTTGAACTCTACATCTGATAGGTTGATTATCTTGATTTCGTTTAGTTCTTTTCCTGGGGTTTTGTTCTGTTCTTTCATTTGAGCTATATTTCTTTGTCTCCTCAATTTGGCAGCCTCCCTGTGTTTGTTTCTGTGTATTAGGTAGAGCTGCTTTGACTCCCTGTCTTAGCAACATGGCCTATTCTAGAAGAGGTGTCCAACTGGATGAATGTGGCTTCTTTAAATCTTTAGTTGTTGGACTTCTATACAGCTTGATTTTCTGATGGTTCTGGATGTTATTATTTTCTTTTTTGAGTCCTAGTTGTAATTCTTTTTGTGGTTGCATGAGGAGACAAAGTGTGTTTTTCTGGGCCTTTATCTTGATCGGTTGATCCCCCAGCTAGGTTTTGAAGTGTTATGCAGTTGGGTTTATAGTAGAATGCCTTTGTCATATTGATGTTAAAGAACAGGACTCACATATACCTTTTTGACTGTGTTATATAGGGTTATGTTATCTGCAGTTGTATTTTATAAAACAAATGAACATGATCTCTAAATTCATGTGATTCAGTGATGTCAAACGTGAACATCTCTGTAGGTACAATTATGAAGCACTGTCTCCTTGGTTAAAATATTGGGCAGTTCTATTAATACTTTTAGTTTCTATTGAAGAACCAGAAGACTTCTGTTCACACTTAGTCTCAAGATTAATCTCCCATTAGTAATTAAAATATCCAGTCCCATTTAATAGTTCCATGTTGAAATTGTATATAAAGGTAAAGCTTCTCATTTCCCTCAGTCTGGTAAGAAGCCTACACTGGACGGATGGGAAGACAGGAGCACAGTCACCTGGTGTACGATCCAGGGCTTCTGTCCTTCTCTCCTACTCCCTTGGTTGCCTCCGGCAGCATTGGAGGTAGGGATAGGGGACAAGCAATTACTACTTCACTGGCATCAGTATCATTTAGCACTGGTTTCCTCTGGCCTTTGTAGGGATTTAAAGCAGGTTGTTTTGTTTTTTGTCCCCGTCATGGGCACTTCATGGAGATTACTCTGCTTGGCCACGGACTGTGCTCGAGCTCCCTTGACAAGCACACCCTCTCAGCTTCTGTGTTTCGTGGTGTGTTTCCAGACTGTTTCTGCTCACGTGGCCTTGCATTTGGCAAGAAGCTGTTGGATAGTTGGTGTGAAGACCCCTTACTCAATTCCATGTCTGGGGTCCTCTGTGTTAAAACACACATCTTTAGCACATTCTTTGTGAGAGTGCAGTTTTTTCCCCACAAGCCCAGACAGCTGGTCTGCTGACACAGCTAGTGTCAGTTGGTAGACTCCTATAAATTTATTTTTCACGTGTGCTATAGACACAGTTCACTGTGATATCCAACCTCTAGGGACACACATCCAGCTTTCTGAGCAATCTCAACAGCTCAACAACTTTCTTCAAAGAAACCTTTGCTTCAGCTTCCTTAACCTCAGTTCAGTGTATGCGGGCTAGTGGGTGTGGAGCTAGGAGTTGCAAAACCAGGCATGGGCCACCTTCTGTGCAAGGCCTGAATAGGTGGCATAACACCTATTTTGGTATGTGGAGTCCTTGTAACCTACTTTTTTTCTTAACTGGAGTGAATCTCCTTTTAACATCTTGTTACACCTGTACACCTACATAATAACAAGCCTATTCATCTAGGATTTCTCTACAGTTTTTATTGACTAGTTTCTTACCATAATACATTTCATACAGTTAAAATGAAGTAGGGTACTTTCTCCATTCTGCAAAGGTTTGGCCATATCATAGATATCTCATTGTCTTAGTATTCATCTAATTTGTACAATATTACTTTATAGAGGCAGAGAAGTTGATGGCTCTGTAGTAAGGGATGGACAGATTAACAAAATTTTCAATTGTGTGTAAGTTTTGAAACCTCTAGAAGCTTTTCAATCTTTTAGCAGCTAAGTGAGGTTCTATCAGACTACAACTGTTTGTTAATAAATAATAGATTCAGCACACCATAGACCAATTTATATTTATTAGGTGCTACCTTGGAATCTTGGTGGGTATATGCTGTCTCCCTTTATTGGGTGACGAGTGTATCTTAAGTCATTTCTGGAAGAAGATAATAAGGATCAAAAAGAATTGCCAGGAAGTTTAGTTCTGTGTTTCAGATTGGCAGCCTGTTTGAGTGGAAAGAGCCTAGAATTGAAACTGGAAAGTCTGGGTTCCAGTTCTAACTGGGTGTCGTTGTACTTGCTCCAATCACATAGCCTTTGGAAATCTGTTTCCTTAACAGAATTGTGAAAGTTTTGGACAGGGTTTGAAATTTCAAACCTCTATTTTAGGAAAGCTTAAGGGTCCAAAAAGGGTAATGTTAAAAATTCAACACATGATTGGTTTCAATTTCACTTAAAATCTTTTAGAAGTTTGTGTTGCTAGATTAACTCTATATACCTTGGATTAAAGTTACTCTTGATACCTTTATTTAAGTTAAGAGTGTCCTGGGACTATAAGGAAAGTAGTGTTATGAAAAAAATTGATTAATCTTTATAGTTATCTTTTTGAGTCAGGATTCAGAAAGGATTCTCTTTGTACTGGGTATCCAGACAAATTCAGAAGTTACTAGATTATAGGAATGGCTCTTACTATATCTTGCATTCACAACCCCAGATTTCAAATATTTGTGTTAATTTTGAACTTGAAAATTTTTATACTAATTAAATTTTTCATCTTTTAAATCATGAATTTTGCTTAGGTCATGCTATAACATTCTGTAATACCATAGTATAGTGCCTCATTTTGGAATGTGGGGTAATTTGTAACCTGTTACTATAATATATTTTATACAGGAGTAGACAAAGTAGGTTCATGTTTGTACAGAAAATAATAGAATAATTAATAAATAATACAAGAATAAATTCTGTTTCATGTACTCACAACTGTAAACATACTTTTCCCATCCCTGTATATATATATATAAAATATATATTACTTTTTTAAGTATAAAAAAATGAGATGATGATCACATTTTTAAGCTTTTGGTTGTTTCTGCATATGAAGATACCATCTATCTCATTTTCCTCATTTGAGCTGTTTCCCATCAAGATCCTTATCTGGCTTGGATTCAAATTCATGTTCTTGTTTTAAACATTACAAACTTTATGCATGAACAACTGTGATTTTTTTAGTGAAATATTAATGTGTGCTTTATTTTAATATTTATTTTCTAGGCATATTGTATTTTAGCAGGATCATTGGTATCTGAAGGAGGTATGTCATAGTAGCTCTCTTTATTCTTAATTTAGTGATACATATCGAGCAGTTTTATTTAAAAAAAATATGGGAATAAGAATCTAAGGTTTGTCTTAGGACATAAATTCCTTATATGATGTACTGTGGCTACTTCTATAATGGATGAGGGCAAGGGAAAAGCTTTTTTCTTGAGTATCATATCATCAGGCTTAGAACATTTGAAATAGTATAAAAATATAACTATATACTGAATTCTAAACATTTAGGTTTTAGTATGTTAATCAGAAAATGCTGTCTTTTTTGTAATACAAATAATTAAAAGTTTCCGAAAGTTTCAGCTATAGCAGTATTATGACATACAAGCGCTAGTATCGTGTATGAAAGTGCCTGCTTTACTCATAGTATGTTTGCTTCTGAAACACTGTCCCTTTCAGTACATAATGTTCCCTCAGTCTTTGACAGTCTATAAAGTGGTGATAATACCACCTGCCTCAAAAAAGTTGGGAGGATCAAAAGTGATTGTGCTTCGTATGTGCCCACCAGCGAGTACCTGTCCAGTACATTAAGACTTGTGGTAGTGATTTTTGAATTAGTATGATTTAGAAATAAGGGGTTCATTATATTGTGCTGTTCAGTTGGGGGCTTGATGATAACTAGTGAGTACAGAACTTTTCCTTATTTTCAGCCCTGCCATTAAAGTAACATGCATATTTATTTACCTTTTGAGATGCCATCTTTAAAGTTTAGAGGCATGAAGTTTCTCCCTTGCTGATATGAATGCATTTCTTTTCAGCAACGCTTCTTGTTGCTGTGAACGAACTTCGTAGGAGTGCTCGGGCAAAAGGAATGTCATTTTACAAGTATGGTATGTGTTTTAGAAACCAGGTGTATTGTTTCATCCCCTTTATTTGCTTAAAATTGCCTAGTACTGTTGCTTTATTCTTTACAGATATGTACAAAATATATCTCTGTCTTTCCTATGTGTGGCTCATGTTTTAAAAATAAAACTCTTTATGTTTGGATTTAACTTAAGTAAACTACAGTATTTCTGTATATACTTATATAACTTGAGAAAGCAATTTGAACATGTAAACCAAGGAATTATATGCATTGAGCAGTGTTTTTAAAATCAGGATCTCATAAAATTTTTATCTTAATTTATATGTTAATTTTAAATGTATACTTACTTAAATGTTACCTGAGAGTATCAGGTTAAGATTTAAGTGTATTTCTTTCTTGTCTCTCCACCAATGATTAAGTAATACAAAGCCGTGACCCTAGCACAAATGTTATATTATTGGAGGATACTGCAGCAGTCTTGGGAGTGACAATAGCAGCCACTTGCATGGGCCTTACTTCTGTAACAGGTAACTATTTCTTAGGTTATCAGTGATTTATTTGTACTGCTTAAATAATTCTCTGATATGTGGAAATTTTCTTTATATCATTGAATAATTTTAAGCCAATAAATTGTTAGATGCTAGTGTCATACTAATGTAACTTATTATCTTATTTGTATAAAACATTTGGTCAGTAAAAATGTAAAATGTCTGCGAGTTAGGAATTTCTTTAAGAAATGAAGAAAACTGTTAATAAAGCATTTCTGGAATGCTATAAACCTTTCTAAACTGTGATTTGATAAATTACACAATTATTCTTTGCCTGTAAAAGTGTTTGTATTTGTCCTAGTGACCTCACAGGTTTACTAAGATAAATACAAGAGAAAACTTCAATAAACTCTAAAGCTCTAAATAAATATATATTGTGGCTCTTGTTAATTTGTCTTTTTCACTGTTAGTACCAATAGTAAGTGCTGTTGCTTTCCTATTTCCTTGACTTTCAGTTGATTCTGTCCTCATTTTGGTAGCTAATGTTTTAAAGTCCAGTACAATACAGATGAATCAAAAGACAAAAAAAACATTTGATTTTTATTTTTCTAAAATAGAATAATTTGGTATGCAAAGACTCAAGTTTCTGAGGTTGGAATTCTCTCGGAATGGAACTTCTTCCATTCTTATCTATTCGTTCCTTCAAATTCAAATAACTTGAGGTGATGAACCTTCATAGTTCTGCAGTTTTTCTTAAAATACTCTGAAACATGAATAGGTTTTTCTCAATTTTAATATACATTTTAAGACCAAACCAGGATGCTCTGATGTTTGCTGTGATCCAGAATATTTCTAAAAGTTTTGATTGTTTTTCGGGTTGACTTTATCATTTTACACTTTTTTTTGGACATAAATTATTAGCAAAACGTTAGGCTTCAGAAAAGTGTGACTTGTTGAATAAGACAACTTTTAATAGATTATTTTCTTTTATACAATAATGTTAACCAGTCAAATCCAAGTCATAAAATTTTTGTTTTAAGAGTATTTCACATGAATTAAATCTTATTTAGTTAAATTAATTTATTTAAGTTAAATAACATGCCAATAAGTAAATAAAATATTTTCTAGTGATTTCTGTAGGATTATTTATACAAAACATTTTTAAATAAAAATAATTAAATTTGGATTTCTAAAGAGCAATATATTTGATTTTGAACTCTATAATTATAGGCTCCCTAGTAGATGATATTTTACTTACAAGTAGATCATTTTTAAGACTTTAGTATAGATAAGTCAGTCTACTTTATAGTGTTATATTTTTGACTAAAGGTTAGTAAAATTTGTAAGTTGGGATTTTTATTAGTAAAATATATGTTTTATCAAGAGAGACTTAAATTTAATATTGAGATTTTATCTTCAGAGTAAAAGGACTTCAAATCATAAAATCCTTGTGTGTAAAATTTATAGCCTTAAAACATAAGATTTATTGATGTCAGTTATATAAATATTAATCTACACATTTATAGATAGTAAATCAGCTTTTCTCATTGGTTCAGGGAGAGAATTAAGCCCTAACAACTGAAGACAATTTTAGAATCAGAATCACCTGAAGGTTGGGAAGATACGGAATTCTAGACCCCACCTCCAGAGTTTTTGATTCAGAAGACCCAGGGTGAGGCCTGGAATTTGCATTTCTACTAAGTTCTCAAGTGATGCTGTTGCTGCTGGTGAAGGAACCACACTTTGAGAACCACTGCTCTAAAGTGACCCTCACATGCAATGCGTGAACTTTCTTTTCTGTATCTAGAATAGTATTAGCTATGAGGAGGACCCCAAAAAGAGGAGAGTTATCTTCTGGAATGTGGGCCTTTATAGTACAGGCTTCCCCCAAGTATCAGTGTACCAGCGGGCGTTGTTGTGAGAGCCCACGTTTGGCTTCAGTGAATTTTTGTTGAAGACTTTTTCAAAGGTTTGCCCATTTCACGATGGGTGATTTACAAGCCCACCTGCCCACACCTTTTGGTGGGGCATGACCCCCATGCCCCACCTTTCCCATTCACCCAGTCGTGCCCCAAGCAACATTTTTTTTGTTTCCCTGGATGAAAAAAGTCCTCAAAGGGAAAATATTTGCTGATGTAGAAGAGGAAACAAAAAATGTCAGAAGCATTAAAAGGCATCAAAATCTCAGTTCAAAAACTGTTTTGAGCTGTGGAAAACAGTCTTGATAGGTGTAGTGCATCCAATGGAGAGTGCTCTGAAGGTGACTGGAGTTTAAACATGTGAGCGTAAATACACAACTTTTTTATAAATCAGGGTTTCTGGGGGTCTGTCCTCATATGTTTCACCTTGGTTGAAAAATAAAGGAGCGACCCATATAATTTTTTGTATGGCTTAATTCTCTCATAGAATCTTGGTAAGAATAAGACCAAAAAAATGCTTATTTCTTTCAGCTTTTGATCTCACAATTATTTTGTCAACCGGGAACAGGAAAAGTGCTACTGCTACCACTAACAGAAATGGACCCTTTCTTATATTATTAATATGTATATGAATTCTTTAATCTGAAAATACTCTGAGCCCCCACCCACATAATGACCAGATGTAAGAACAGTTCTTAAGTAATTAAATGTCATAATACTCCTATGTAATATGAAGCAAGTTGTATCATTCCCATTTTGTGTAGTGTGCATTAAAACTATTAGAAAGTTATTAAAGGAGTCAGAATGAATTTTTAAATCACCTGATTAACTGATTCTGGCTCTTTGCGCACTACAGCTCATTGAAATAACAAAATGTTAATTTACTGACTTTCGATGTGCTTTATTTAGGCAACCCACTGTATGACAGCCTGGGTTCTTTGGGTGTGGGCACCTTATTGGGTGTGGTCTCGGCATTCCTCATCTACACTAACACGGAAGCGCTGCTAGGCCGATCCATCCAGCCAGACCAAGTGCAGCGGCTTACTGAACTCCTGGAGAACGACCCATCAGTAAGGTCAGCTTTTTCCGGTGATGCTGTTAAGGTTTACAGAATCATTAAGAAATAGATATGCTTGCTTTGTATATACTTCCAGAAGAGGTTTTGGATTCCTAGCCTTCAGAACCTTTTACTATTACTTTTCAGAATTGCAACCTTGCAAGAAAGCAACTGAAAGCATTTAGGAAACTCCTTAAGTTTCCTTTTAAATTTTATGTATCTTTAATTTTTAGAATAAGGAACAGTTACATGATGTAATGGAAGCAACCCCCAACCAGGGACCGGGCCATAACCCAGGCATGTGCCCTGACCAGGAATTGAACCAGCAACCTTTCAGTTTATGGAACTATGTAACCCACTGAGCCACACCAATCAGGGCAGGGTTTCTTTTTTTTGTTTTGTTTTGTTTTGGTTTGGTTTGGTTTTTTGCCACATGGTCCTCTCCAACAATGGCAGCTTGATTAATCAAAATAAGCAAACTGAGAAGACAATAGAGGTTAAGGGTAAACAAGATAAAAGTCACAGTTTAACCATCTTGGAAACATCTCATCACTTTGTCACATTCTTTTGGATAGGAGCAAGTCTAGCTCACATTCAGGGAGAGAGGATTGTACAAGGGCTTTCAAAACAAGAGGCAGGGATCATTTGGAGCTATGACTGATGCTGCCTATCACAGTTTTCTATCTGCAGTTAGTTATATGTAAGTTATTTTCATTAGCTACTATTCAGGTATTAGCCAAACATGTTTATTAATATTTTGTGAGTACTGAAGTAGATAGGCCTGTTTTAAAAAGAATAAATTATATAGCCTCTTGCCAGTGTGGACAAGTTTTATTTCAACTGAGATACATTCTAAATATTAAAATATTCTTATTTTCTCCCTAGATAGCTAATAAATAGGCTTCTTTATTTATTCAATTAGGAATTTCAGACTCAGTATTTAGTAACTTGCTCAAGATCACTCAGAAATTAGATGCAAATGTTTTAAGACTACTTGAGTCTCATTTAGGCCTATTTTCCCAGTAACTCTCTGTGTTCCTAGGATTTACAGTGTTTTTGTATTCTCCTATACATCTTGTGAAGAAAAGATGTTACAGTGATTATCATAGAAAGAATATAATGTCTCATTGGTTTTTTAGAGAAGATTGAATCCAGAGGGTTAGGACAGGAAGGATAAAAAGGATTTATGCTTGAGCTTCCCTTTCCGGGTGGCAGAGTGGTATAATGGAGAGGCCACTCGGCTGGACTGTCTGCAGGTGCGCAGGTGAGTCCTCGCTCTGCTGTTGACCAGCGCCCCTGGACGACTCTTTTATCATCTGTAAAGATGCCGTCTTACTTAGAATACTCTGTAAACGCCATTCAGTAAATGCCTGCCATGTAATTGGTAGCATATTAGGCATTTTACTTATGTGTTGGCTCATTATTTCCCACATCAATGTCATAAGGTAGTTATTACTAAATTATTCTAATACAGTACTTTACAAAGTTGTTTGAAAACTTTTAAATTAGATATTAATAAAGAGATTATGAGATAAAATGACTAGATTGTAGAAAAGTAATTCAGAGTTTATTTTTTAAATGTTTATTGATTTTGGAGAGGAAAAATCATTGATGTGAGAGAGAAACATAAATTGGTTCCTTCCCATATGCACTGTGACCGGAGATCAAACCTATGTATGTGCCCTGACTGGGAATTGAACCCCCAACCTGTGGGATGACACTTCAAACCAACTGAGCCACACCAGCAAGGGCTAGAGTTGATTTTTTTTAATCTACCAACTTTATAATTCATATATATACAGATTATCATAAAATAATAAATGTATTAAGTTTACACCTTTGGCATTATGTAAAAATAGCTAAATGGATATTGTTTGGCAAACGATAGGTAGCACTTAATGGTGAACACAAGTCATCCTAGTCCACTTCTATCACTGGTGGAAAAAATTCTAGACTTAGTGCCATTAAAATGTATATGTGTGTTTGCATATGCATATAAATTTATAATTTATGGTTGATTTGCAGGGCAATTCATGATGTTAAAGCCACAGATTTGGGATTAGGTAAAGTAAGATTTAAGGCAGAAGTAGATTTTGATGGACGGGTTGTTACAAGATCCTATTTGGAAAAACAAGATATTGACCAGATGTTACAGGTAAGTTTATGTATTTATTGATTTCTTATAGAGCCAATGGTTAGAAAAAATACTTTTTAAGTAAATAAAATAAAACTTTTCTTTTATAGCTCATAAAGTCACTTCAGCTTTCAACTTCTTAGGGTTTCAAAATTTTACAGAGACCCTTTTATTTACTGTAGAGAGGGTTAGAGGAACTAGAAGTGCAAACTTATTAAAGTGCTTGCCAGGTATTTTATATATGTTATCTGATTTACTTTCCACAACCCTGTGAGGTAAAGAAATAATATTTTCATGTTTATGTATAGGTGAGTAGAGACAGATTATGTAACTTGCCTAAAATTGCAGAGCCATAATATGGAGTCACCTATGATTTTAGATCTCTGTGCCTCCAGAATCCTTGCTTTTTATTAATAGTTTAAAAGAGAATTTATAGAGGATAACATAATGAACAGTGCAGAGGTTGCCACTTGCCTTAGTCAAGTCTTCACATTTTACCATATTGTATTTGCTTAAGATCTTTAAGAAAAAATGAAAGAGTTGCAAAAACAGCTGAAGTCCTTGTTTCCTCCTTGTAGGTCCCACCCTCCTTCCTCCATCCCCAGAACTAACAATTACCCTGAATGTAGTACTTATCATTTCTTTTTAGGTTTGTATACTTCTCAATATATTTTTCCTAACATAATATATAATAACATTTTGGGTGTTTAAAAATTTACATAAATGGTAGCATACTATATGATTTCCTCTACAACTTCTGGCATGAAACTTAATGGCATGTTTCTGAGATTCTTCCATATTTATTTCTATATAATTATACTTATATAGAAATAAATATATTTATAAATAAATATACATACACCTTCAGTTAATTTATTTTAATTGCTGTATAATATTTTATCTTCTGAATATCTGCAATTTATTTATCCAGTCTCTAGTTAGTGGACATTTATATTGTTTGTAATGTCAAGCTATTAGAAACAATGCCACAGTGACATTTTCATACATATTTCCTTGTTTATCATGTGCAAGAATTTCCTTAGGGTAATTATAGCTGGATTTAAAATGGTTGGGCCTTTGGGTGAACATACCTTCAACTTCTCTAGAGATACGCAAATTTTTCTTGAAAGTGGGTGCATTTAATTCTCACCATTAGTGTATCAAATTTCTGTTGCTTCACATCCTTACTGATTGTATTGACAGAGTTTTGAACTGTTATTGTCATTGTGATAGGTGTGAAATGTTACCTTATTTTAATTTATATTTCCCTGGTAGTAGTGAGGTTAATAAATACTGAATTTCATTGATCATTGGGATTTCCTCTACTTGTTTCTTTGTTTAGTTAATTTCTGTTATTCTGACAGATGTGTAAACACTTTATTTTTAATATGCTTGATGATACTAATCCTCCCTCAGTTGTGTATATGCAAATGTGTTTTTCTAGTTTATAATTTACCATTTTACTTTGCTGTACAGGGGATTTAATGTGGTTTTTAATTTTAATGTCAAATTTGTGTTCTTTTTCTCCGTTTTATAATCTTGCCTGAGTAATCTTTCCTTATCCCATTATTATAAATATACTTTTTTTCCCCCCTAAAAGTTTTATGGTGTTTTTTTACCCTTAGCTTATTAGTCCACTTAGAATTGTTTGTTTTGTTTAATGGTCTGAGGTAGGGGTTTAATATTATTTTCTTATTGAAAAATAATTACCCTGACACTATTTATTGAATAGTCTGTTCTTTTACCACTAATTTCTAATGCTACCTTAATATAGCATTTTACTCAATTTTTTTCTTGAATTTAAGTTTTTCAGAAGCAGGTGGTTTAATACAGTTTTTAAAGGAAATCATCAGTGTACTACTGTGACTTTAAAAAATTTTATTTTGTTGTCCTCCTATCATTTTCTTTATAGGAAATTCAAGAAGTGAAAACTCCTGAAGAACTAGAGACCTTTATGCTTAAACATGGAGAAAATATTATTGATACTTTAGGAGCTGAAGTAGATAGACTTGAGAAAGAACTAAAAGTAAGATATATTCATTATAATATAATAATATCTATTTTTTGCATACTCTGTGTTAGACACTATACTAATTGTATCACATGTATATTCTCCCAGTAACCCTTGATATATCAGTTGCTCTGGGTAAGAAAATGGTGGGTTAGAGAAGTTAATTTATTTAAGAGAGTAGGGGAATTGGGATTTGAACCTATGTAGCTCAATTTCAACTTCTGTACTTTTATCACTGCTCTATACTGCTTGCTTAGTATCTCAAATAGTCAGACATTTTTGTTGGTTTTTAAATAAGAATTAGAAAGTTTCTAGAGAAAGGTAAAAGGGAAATTTTAAGTTTTGAAAAGGTAGGGAAAAAATAGTATGTGACCATAAACATACACGTATGTCTTGCTTTTTAGTGTGTCCAATGTTATTTTACATTTTCTCTTTGTTTTTGTTCAGCTGGAAATCATTACTACCCAGTGATTGTTTTACTGAAATATTGCTTGATCGGACTGTTGAAAAAAAATTCTCAATGCTCTCAAATTATCATTTATTGACATTTAGAGTTCTGTTTGTGTGCAGTGAATAAAACTCGTAAATGACCTTTAACATACATAGCTTTTTGAAGACAATGTATTTTCTTCAGTTAATGTTGACTGTTCTTTAGTGCTGTAAAAAATTGAAGGGAAACAAAAACAAAAATTGAGGTGAAACATTTTTACTGCTGCTTACTCTTTTCTTTTGGACTCTAGATAGCTGATCAGGTTAGTAGAAGTACTTCAAATAAGATGATTTTGTCAATGTTAATATTATAGTTCAAAAACTATATCAGGCATTATTTTGGAAGTTTGTACATAAGCAGTTCTCAAATATTTTGGTGTTAGGACCCTTTACATTCTTAAAAATTATTGAGGACCCAAAGAACTTTGATTTGATTTATAGTTATTGATACTTACCAAATCATAAATTAAAACTGAGAAATTAAAAAGTATTTACTTAAAAACATAATAAATCTATTACATGTTAATATAAATAACATTTTAACAACAACAAAACTTTTCCAAAATGAAAAAAAATAGAACAGTGGTATTGTTTTATATTTTTGCAAAAACATAAGACAGCTGTTTTCCCTTATCTTTTTCTGCATTCAGTCTGTTGCCGTATATGGTTTTGGTTGAAAAATATGCAGAAAAGGAGAAGCCTTTATAAGTATTCTTAACACCTGCCTTTTCAGGTGATTGCGATAATTCTCTTTAGTATGACACCAAAGCGTAGTTGCCATGTGGAATCTGAAACTGCATCAGTGAACTTTTTATGTTTGTGAAACTACGTGGCACAGTCCGGAAGAGCCCCCTTGTTTCTGTTTCTAACACAGTTTCGAAGTTCGAGGGGTCCCTAAGATCACTCTCAGGTTAGATAATTCACCGGAAGTATCCAAACTCACTAAATGCTATTAAATTCACCATTATGGTTTAATTACAATGGAAAGATAGAGATTAAAACCAGCCAAGGGAAGAGGTGCATTGGTCCACGTTCCAGCACGGAACTTCAGTTGTCCTGTCCCCATAGAGCCATGGATAGTATTTCTTTCCTAGCAACAGTGTTTGACAGTTTGCAGGGAATATTGTGAATCAGGAAAGCTCAGCTAAGCCTTGGTGTCAAGGGATTTTATTGGGCTTCATAGTTGCCCAGCTAGGCAGTTGACCTTATATCTTCAGCTCCTTCTGGAGGTAGAGCAGATACTTTGTGGCTGAAGGTAAACAAGGACATATTTATCAGGCAGGACACTCCAAGGGCTTAGAGATCAGCTCCCAGCAGCCATGGGCAAAGGCCAGACCTCTCTTTGGGTATGATTCATTCTCTACTACATACTATTACATTAAAATCTGTTGGGCTATCTTAGTCTCTGAATGGATATTTTACCCATGTATGATTCTGTAGTATTATGAATGGGTCATTTGGAAAATAATTGGTTTACAGACTCTCTGCACACCTTTTAAATGTTAAATTTTAAAGTAGAAGCTGTCAGGCTTACAGTGGATATGGGTTTTCCAGCATTCTGATGTTGACTTAAAAACTTGTATTTTATCATTAGCAACAAATACTTCTGGTTGTTTTCTTTGAAGTAACAGACTCATTTTTTAAATTTTTTTAGCAGCCTGCCAGATATCCAAATTTGAATAACCTCAGTTTGTTAGTTATTCTTTTAAGTAAAAATGGTGTTTAGATTTTTAAAAACCATCTGATTCAGGTCATAACTCAAGCAATCACAGGAGTGCTTTGCCTTGTGACATCAGACTTCAGTATGAAGCAGAATGGCTTTACACGTCCCATTTTGTCACATGATATTTTTAAAAGTCTACTCAGGAGTTCAGGTTTAATAAGCAGTACTTTTTACTACATGATGGACATTTTAAAGTGAAATTACCTTTTTTTAAAAAACAACTGTGAGTGTCTGGCCGTCAAGAAACGAGATGACTGCCTGTATAGTTTGGTGCCATTTGCCTTGAATTTTGCAAAGGTGCCAGCAGTTTTATCTACCAATGCTGTTATGCCATCAGAGGAAATGTCTGTGTAGTTAAAAAAAAAAAATGCAAATACCATCTTGTGTTACTATGAAAATAGTTTTGATCTTGCAGTTTCCCTGAAAAGGTCCCAAAACTTCATTGACCCTTGGAGCATACTTTGAGAACCACTGTTCAAGATAAAATGGGAGGTGATTATTTTTGTGCAGGATGACATGAGAATGAATATACTTTGCTTTTTCAATTCCATCTGTTCTTATTTACCTATTAAGGAAAATAATGGACTTTTAAACTCAATATTTTATCTTTACTGTGTAATAGAAACAATAAGTCAGAAGTCAGATTTAACAGTAAATACAACATTGATCATTCTGAAGTCTTATGATAATCAAATAAGCTTGTTCTTGCCAACTTGGTATTTTAATAAGGAACTATTTAATCATTAAGTGTTTGAACTGTCTCAAAAGTGTTTTTGAATTATATAAGCCTTTCAAACCAGGAAGCCAAGTTGAACCCACATTTTCGGGTGGAAACATCTCTGACTAAGGTAATAAGGCATAAGTAATATTAAGTAAAAGAAAGTCCTTCAGTGATAGGACATAAACCGAAAATGCATGAATATAATTCTTCTTTCTTCTCATGAAAATAAGCTGACTTTCTTTGAAAACAGAAACTTTGTACACTGGCATATTCCCTGTTTTTAATATCTAAGCATGGCTGCCTTCTAAGTTTAAATTTTACTAATTATTGAATTACTTGGAACATCACACACTCCATGAGAAAATTCTGCAGCAGAATAGCGATCTCCATTGAGTAAAGCCATTGATCCAAGTGTTAGAGTAGGTGGTATTTTTAGTTTAAACTCTGCAACTTGCTTACTTCTATGTGAAGATGTTAAAAATAATAGAAGCTAATTTATAAAGTCCCATATTATAAATGTGAAATATATCTTGCTCTTATTTTGAAGTTCTTTAAACTGTTAACCTGAAAGGTTTTTTGTTGTTGTTTTTCTGCCTCTGTATATCAGTCTGTTGACCGACTTTTCTCTATACTTTCATGAAGTTTTTTGTGTTTGGGAGGAAATAATTTTGTTGGAAATGGGAACATGCCATAGCATTTGCAAATTTCTAATCAGTAATGTTCCAGTTAAATACTCTGGCCTTTACTTTGTTTTTTCCTTCCCTAATTGCATTCTCCTATACCATTTTCTTAACACTGCAGCATTGCAAAATAAATTACATAATTTGGTTTTTATCTCCCCATAATTGGAGTATTGGAATAAAATCTGTGGTGTATAAAATGTTCCAGTTAGCCCTGACCAGTGTGGCTCAGTAAGTTGGGCGTTGTCCTGCAAAACGAAGGGTTGCTGGTTCAATTTCTGGTCAGGGCACATGCCTGCCTGGGTTATGAGTTCGGTCCCCAGTTGGGGTGCTGATCCATGTATCTCTCTCACATCAGTGTTTCTCTCCCTCTCTTTCTCCCTCCCTCCCCATCTCTCTAATACATAAATAAAAATTTTAAAAATAAAATGTCCCAATTTGCATTGAACAGTGCTTGGGACATAATAGATCAGTAAGTATTTGTTGAATAAGTGAAAGAAAATTGCAAGTTGGACACCAATTAATGATTTTCAATTCTATTTAACAAATACTCCGTTTCTATTATGTACATGACAGCTGGTTAGGTACTAAACATTAAGATTTAAGGATATTCTATTTTTTTTATTTATTCGTTCAGCAAACCTTTATTTGTGTTGTCTGCTTTGTATTTGATACTATATTTTAGAAATTTGATAAGTTTTCTCTCTGAAAACAGTTTTTAAAAGAGCAAAGTAAATTAACTTTTGGTTTCTTTATCTTGAGATCAGATTTTTATTAATACACATCTGTCACATAGTGCTTGTAGATGGAATAATTTCAACTTTCCCTAAACAGCTCAAGTTTTTAAAGTCATATTAGTGTGGGTAAGGGTTGAATGAACTGGGGAAATGAAATTCAGTTTCATTTCTGTTTGAGGATATCTTATTTATTTCCAGAGAGAGGGGAAGGGGAGAAAGAAAGAGAGGGAGAGAAACATTGATTTGTTGTCTCTCACACGCCCCCGGCTGGGGATCTGACCTGCAACCCAGGCATGTGCCCTGACTGGAAATCAAACCGGCAACTCTTCGGTTCTCAGGCAGGTACTCAGTCCACTGAGCCACACCAGCCAGGACGAGGAAATCTTTTTTTCATTCCATATTGAATTAAAAGTTCTATATGCAGGAAATGGCTTAAGATAAAACAGTGAGAAGAAAAGTGTGCCCCCCATGTTCGCAGGTCCCCGGCCACTCTTAACATTAGAATCCAAGAGAAAGTACTCGCAGGTACACTTAACAATGCACGTTACCAGAAAAATCCCATCCACTCTCAGTGTAATACTCTAGCTGAAGCTAAACTCCATGTTTTGTGTTTATAATTGAGTTCCTTCAATATGACTAATATGCAAATATTCCTAGCATATTTTTTAAGCTAGGAATTACTGATCCTGCCTGGTTATCAGAATCAATTTAGAGGATCTCTTTTGCCCCTGCTGATTTATTTGTACTATTTTTATCAAATAATATACAAAGTTTGTAAAGTCAAGCAGGACTGAAAAGCTTATAACAGAAATAAGTGTCACTTGCCTCACCCTCCTCAATCCTTAATTCTGTTTCTCAGAGATAATCATTTTTAATACTTCTCACAGTTTTAAAATATTTACTGCCATATTTTTACTTAGTCTTATACCATTCCTCCTGATTTAATCCTGTGGATGTCATGGCTGATGAGGAATACAAACAAACTCTTTTTTAAAATATTGTTACATATATTGGGCGCACAGGTTCAAGGTTATGAGGCGCTGCACATTTCCACGTGACTGATATTAAGCCATAATGTTTAACACACTAGTTTGGTTTAGCCTGTAGTCTGTAAGTGTGTGCTGTGACTCGACAGTAAAATACAGCATACTCTGAAGTCAGTGTTGCTGTAGTTGTTTTTTGCAAACTTCAAGGTCAATGTTGTATTTTTTTTTTCATTTTCCATTGAAAATGGCTGGAAAAATACATCAATTCGATAATCAAAGAGATGTTGCAGAACTTAAGTGAATGCTACTCGAGTCGCTTATTAAAATATTTTTGCCCGAGTGTTGTGAAAAGTATTTATGCCTCAACCATAGCAATATTGTTTGCAATGACTGTTACAAATATTTTACAAAGCCAACTATTAAAGATCCTGATTAATTAATATTAAAGGAATTTTTTTTGGTTGTATTTTTTTTAGCAGTATCCATGTTTCAGTTATTTGAAAGGAAAACTTTTTATTCTTTAGGTTTTTATATTTCTTTGTTTATAATTTCTAGATTGTAACTGAAAATAAATAAATAAATAAATATATAACAAATAAATAAAATGTATTTTGTTATATAAATATGATAAATGCAAATTTGCAGTGTTTTTATTTATTTTTATTTTTTGCATTTCAGCACATACTAGTAATGAATGTATACCTCAGATACATGCAGCCTGTGCTGTAATTCTTTTGACTGCAACCTCCTCAGGGTTAAACATTATTTTGTCTTTGACAAAATGTAGATTTAGTTATTTTTATACGCTCTTTTCTGTCCTCCATTCTCACAATATCATAACTACATTTTATTGCACTTTGAATCCCACAAAATTGAGTTGGGTGTCCTTACTTTATGTACCCATGGGGATAAAAACCAGAGCCTGTACCTTGCTCTGTCATAACAGTCTGCTGTGATTGCCTGCTTGCTTACCTGTATTTCCTCACTAGACTTAATAAATTCATCAAAGACAAGTACTGCTTGTTTCCTGTTAATTGTTGTATACTTAAGTGCCTGGCACAGGGTAGGCATATAATAAAGATATTTTTGTTGTCCCTGAATTGATGTTCCTAAGCTATCATTTAAGATATTTTCACAACCTGGCTTCCGCCTGCCTTTCTGGGTTCTCTGACTTTGCTTGTGCTGTTTCTTCTATCTACCAGGCGTGTCCAGCCTGTGGCCCGCGGGCCGCCTGCAGCCCAGGGTGACTGTGAATGCGGCCCAGTGCAAAACTGTAAATTAACTTAAAACGTTATGAGATTTTTTTGTGTGTGTGATTACATGTCACAGTGTATTTAATGTGTGGCCCCAGATAACTCTTCTTCCAGTGTGGCCCAGAGACGCCAAAAGGTCAGACACCCCTGCGTCTAAACCCTCTTCATCATCCTGTTGGAAAATACTACCTTCAGACCTCACTTAGTGTATCCTCAGTGAAGTCCTTCTGGATATCATGAGCCTAACACTTTTAGGCTCTAACACTTTTGTTCTAGAATTACTATTTCGTATGGTGTAATAGGAGCTTGAGGTCTGGTATCAGGCCTGGAATCTACCCTGGTTTCATCACTTATTAGCTGTGTGACTTTGGACAGGTTAGACTATTTCTTCAAATTTAAGTTTTCCCATATGTAAAATGGAAATAATTGGGTTATTATGAAACATTTTAAAGTATCTGCATGCGAAGCCCTTACCACAGTAATTGACACAGGAATAAGTGCTCATTAAATGTTAACTGTTACTATTATTAACTATAGTGCTTAAGCTCATATACGGTTATTGCTACACTTATCTCCCTGGCTAAACTGAGTTCCTCAGAGTCAGGAACAGAGTCTCACTTAATAATCGTAGCTCCACTTTCTGGCAAATATCTGGCTCAAGACTGTACATATTGTTACAAATATAAATGAATATCAATGTATTTTTTCGGTTATTGTTGCCTTGATTTTCTTTTTGCCACAAATGAGAGTATTTTCAGTGCTTTGCAATGCTTGACACATAATAGATCCTTAACCCATTACTGTATTAATGAACATATGAACAAACTCAGGCTGGCAGGACTCCTTACTGTATCGTTCATAGTGTGTTTGATTTATTCATCTATTGATAGTTTTTTCTTTATGTACGTAATTTCTCTTGCTATTACACTACAATGAAACAGCTTGACCAAATATTTACAATGGCTTTAGCAATCAAAAGGAAGTAATAAAAGGAAACGGAAGATTCTATTTTGCTCTGAATAATGTGGTGATGATTTTTCCTTCCAGAAACGAAATCCTGAAGTTCGACATGTTGATTTGGAGATACTATAGATCTGATGGAATGAATCACTTCGGAACAAGCCTTGGAAACAAGTTTGTTGAGCCGCCTCTCCCACACTGAAGGCGTCAGTGCTGTTCAGAAGCCTTTTTTTTTTTTTAAGATGAAGGACAATTCAACAATCCACAGAACTAAAACACTGCACATTGAATCAGTTTGGAAATCATGTTTTTATGGTTTAGTAGGAGACGTTTTCATTACCTTAAATTGATTATAACTTCTCATTGTGGCCTGTCAGAGTGTATTGTACCTTGCAATCATGTTTCCTTCATTCACATTCGTAAAAATAAGCAACATCCATAGAATTATGATTTTTAATTTTGTTTCCATGGAAGATTCCACTCCAACAAAACCTGCCAATCTTGTACCTGCTGGCTAAATCTTGGTTTGTGGTTTTTAAATAGTCACTCCGTTTCAGTCTGTCTGTCTTTATAAAATGTGGAAATTATTTCTTCATACCTTGTAATTTTGCCCTGAGCGCTAAGAGGAGCAGTTTCCTAACCTGGTTATCCGTAAATGTTCATTCCAGAATTGGCTTAGTTACTGAACGGAAGGCATTTCAATACACTCTTTAAGGTCATAGTAGTTGCCATTTTGTAAATTTTCTTACCTTTCATTTGCTTGTTTTCTTTTTTGGTTTAATTTTTCTAATGGTAAAATAACCCTCGGTTTTCTATGGGCCAGTGTAATGACTGGTTTCTTGTGCTGTTTTTTTTTTAACTGACTTCAGTGCCATCGTATGTATTTAGTAGTACATAATGCATCTATAAGTATTTTGACATTCTGTAAAATGGACTAGAAATATTTATAATTTTATAGACGGGGCAGCATTTTATTTTTAATTTATTTAAAAAGAGGCACTACTTCTGTAAATCTGAACTGTGGGATATTTCTTGCTTTAAGAGGAAGATAGAAAGGCAAATCTCTTATGCAGAAACTTGTGGCCGTGATTGTGTCTAGTATCATAGTAGTGTGTCTGTTACATGAGTTCTTTTGCAGTTTCACATGGGCATGTAGCATAATATAGGGCTATAATAGTATGTAAGTAGCTTTCTGATGATCCTAAAGTATCAAGGTAAAAAAACCAAAATTCAGTAATTGAAAATTTAGTGCAAAAGTACAGCTCTGTCTCCATGCATCAGAACAACTCATATGCACTTTAAGACGGTCAGGCGGCACCGAGCAGTCCATGCGAGGGCGGGGGGCGGAGTGGTCTCTGCTGGGAGAGTGGGTGCTGACGCGCGGGCCTGTATGAGGTCGGTGTCTCAAGCTTTACTCGGATTAAAGTTTATGGATTGCGGCAAATTATAATGCTGGAGACAATTAAAAAAAAATCTGATTTAGGGGGTTTTGATCCAGAAATGTCATTTGTGAAAATTTACATTGTGATACATTTTTTTTTTTTTACCATTACAGAGCATTTTGCATGCTGTACATTTTAAGTGAAATAACATTCCAATTTTATTTTTTAAGATATATAAATTATTTTATATGTACACATACACACACACAGTTTGATTCTCTGTTCTTATGGTTTCAGATTCGTCACCCCTACTTTTTTCTAAAACTGTTTTTTACCCATTATAATTCACTCTGCACTTCATGTTCTTCCTCCTTCCCCTTTCCCACCTGCCATTTGTTATTCCATGGCAATGCCTTATGGGGAAAGGTTACCAAATTATATCCAATCCCCTCCTAGCAAAATTACTGTGAAAATTTTCACATTGCTTGACAAGAATAATTTATTTAAAAACATCTCAAAGTCGATATATAGAAATTATTCCAAATGGTAGTTTTTTTAGGACTTCCAAAAGGAGGCCAGTTCCTGATACTTCTAAGTTTTAAATCTGATTTGATTGAGGTCATACCTATTCTTAAATAATAATTGAAGGCTTATGTTTCTTATTTTCAGTGCTCTTCTGCACTGATGTTTTGCAGATTGCTTAAGCAAAATTTGATATGAAGAAGTACAGCATATCAAGCAAGTTGAATATTTTTATGGAATCAGAAAGTGTATGACATCTCTGGACCTTTTTTCCTTTTTAACTAGTCAAATTTGGATTTGAAAACCAGGGAATTTGGACCGCTCTCTCTTAAAATAAGATAATATTCAGGTTTCTTGTTTTTTTTTTTCAAATTAGTAGTTCTTACTTTAAGTCTTTTCCGGATCCATATCATCTGAATGTTTAAACATAGAAGTCTCAGTATTTTCCAGGAAGATAGCTTCTGTAGTAGGATAATTGCAAAAATAACGTTGGGCAGAGAAGAGGGCCTTCAAGGGCCTGGGACCCTTCTTTGTACTAAGCTGAAATCTGGGAACTATCAGAGGTGAAGTACACTCATTTTCAGCTTTGGCTGGGAATGCATTTCTAATCAGGTCCCACACTAGGGTGTGGTGGCACGTCGTTTAGACCGTGGCAGAGGGAGGATGAGGGGTGGAGACCGATTTTTAAGTGGACCATGTTGGTGGCCAATCGTATCTACTTCCCAGGAGGAGGATTGCTGAACATACAGAGGAAACTGAGCTAGGATCAGACTGAAGTTTTTCCTCCAAAAAAGTTAATCTCTGCATATATCATCCCCGCCCCCCCACACCAAATAACCCAGAATAAGAAAATAGCATAAGACTTGAATTGGCGGTATATGATTTTAGTGCAACCTTAATTAGACTACAGTTTGGATAATGCTTTTTGCTAAAATTGTACCATCTAAAGGAAATGGCTGAAATCTTATATCTGATAACTTTTTGGGGTAGAATGCTAGGAGCTACAGAAAATTGCACAGGCATTTGGGATTTATACTATTTTTCTCAGATTGTATTTGTCAAGCTTTGGCATTTTTAAAAAATGTGATGACCCCCAATTTGCCAAACTGTCGGAAGTCAATGAAGCAAAGAATTGAAGGTAAAATGTTGATTCAAAGATTGTCTCTCCTTAATCCTTCATCCCTGTCTCTGAAATGGAACTTTGGAAGGTATTTATGTAGAAAATTGGTCTTGAAGCCTTTATATTTGCATTTAAAAGTTTCCTAGCATTCCTAGACTTGGTTTTATGGAAAAAGAAGAGTTTTGTTTCTGTTACATTGTATTTCAGTTGTCTGATTTCACTGGCGGATTAAGGCGGTCCTGGTCCCTCAGGATGCTCTTTCCTTAATAAATGTTTTATGTAAATAAGAGCAGTTCACTGTTTGTTTTGGATTTTTTCACCCTGGTTAATAAATGTTTTTTAAACATAAATCCTTCTTTACCTCACATGTTAAGAACTAAACTGTGTAATTGAATACAATTTACCGTAAAAATCATGCCTATGTTTTTTAACAGAATTTATTACTGAGTATGCCTTTTAGTCCATAAGTTTCTGGTTTTACAAAACCAATATACAACAACTCTTAATCACGTTACAATCAGTTTTCAATATAAAGAGAACTATTATTAATATGCAGTTAGGATGTCATGTGTTTGCTAAAGTACAAATCTAAAAAGTTACATCCTTTAGTGGTAGATATTACTACATTTTGATAAACTAAAGCAAAATACAGAATTGTGTCTTTGTCTTTAAGGGCTTGTAGAGGTTTAAAAATAGATTTTAAAGTAAAAACATACCTGTTTATATTATAATGACTATCAACAGGATAATTTGAGCTTGTTGTACCAGGTACCACTTTACAGACATAAACCCACTCACCCTTACATGAGCCATTGAAATATGCGTTATTGTTTCACAATTTTGCAGATGCAGAAACTGAGACACACTAGATACACGGCCTCTCTGAGGGTACTCAGATGGTAGGGAGCTGAGTCAGGACTTGAAATCAGTTTAGTTCCACAAGTCACTGCTGAGCAGAAGAGCCCAAGCAAAGTAACACCATATAGAAAGTGGAAACAAAATATTCATTTTGTTACACAGTCCTCAGACTGCTTAGGACAGGAGTGGCAGGACGGAACTGGAGTGGGACATTGCCGTTTCATGGAAGCCAAGGAATTCTGTTACTTTGGAGATTTACTTTCAAGCATTACTTAGAGACCACTGTACAGACATACCCAGAAGCTAATATTCCCTTCAACTGTCAGTCATTGATTTGAACCATGTAGGAAAGAAATTTAGGACAAGTGGAAATTAGCATTGATCAAAATATTTTAAAATATTTTAAAATTGTATTTGATCCCTAGGTGCCCATTTATTTTTCCCAGAGGCAACTAATGTCAAAAGCTTGTTACATATTCTTACAGATATTTGATGTATATATGCACACAAACATATATATAAGTTTATAATATATATTTTCTCTGTTCTACACAGATGGTAAAATACATACACATTAATGGATTGTCTTACAACTTGAAAAGTACACAGCCTATTTTCAGAGTTTTGTGTTCACTGAAAACTCTTATATCAAGAGGATATGACAATGGGGCTATTTACATTTAAATTAATTAAAGACCATTAAAAATTCAGTTTCTCATATGCTTTAGCCGCATTTCATGTGCTTAATAGCTACACATGGCTGGCTGGTGGCTACCTTGTTGGACAATGCAGATGGAACATTTCCATTATCACAGAAAGTTCTTTTGGACAGCACTAATACGGTAGAATGAAAGAACCCTAATCTCTTAATATTTGAGAGCACCTTTATAGTATACAAGAAAATAGTGCCTTTTTTTTTGCTGTTGGAGTCAAGGGTTAAATTATAACTGAGTACTTAGAAATGTGTGGATATATAATTAGCTCTTGGGCTAAAATTTTAAGCTACCAACTAGTGTTACTTAGAACAAGTCAATTTTCCACCTTCAAAATAGTTTGAACTTGCCTGGTTGGGTGGCTTAGTTGGTTAGAGCGTCGGCCTGTACAAAATGTTGCAGGTTCCATCCCTGGTAGGGACAGGTGTGGGAGGCAACCGATCAATGTTCCTCTCAAATCAATACACATATCCTCAAGTGAGGATTAAAAAAAAAAAAAAGTTTGAACTTGACTTCAACTCGTTCAAGTGCACAATCAACATTCTGAATGGTAAGTAGCAAGTCAACCCTAAAATGTGTTCTTAAGCCATTAGAAATTCTTACCCAGGTTAATTATATGATTATGAAAGTTAATGTTAAAATTTCACATGGTGTTTCATCAAAGAGCTAAATCAGTATGACACCATATCACCTAATACTGATGAAACCAAGGGTTGGTGGCCCAGATGGTGAGAAAGGGAGGAGCTACGTGTTTACCACGTTTATATAAGAAGTTCCTGGAAGTTGTGTCAATTAAATATTTTAAAATATGTATTTTTAAAAGCACTAGAGGAAATCACAATTTGTTAAAATCCTTTTGCAACGTAAATGCTATTACTTCTTGTTAAATACTGTTTAAAGGAGATTGACTAGATTGTTCCTGAACTATGGCAGATCAGGATGAGGTTAGAAGGACATTAAGGAATTGGGTGATGGACAATCTAATATCAGTAGTATTGGAATTTCTAAGGAATTACTGGGATTGGTTTAATTTCCTGTGATACTTTTTTGTATAGATACACAGCCCATGTCAACATTTACTGAGCACTTACTATATATTATTGTCCAGAAAGTATCCAACCAGGCACTATGAAAAGTAGACATTTATTGATGAAGGTACAAATACAAGAAACATTGTATATAAAACAATGATGCCTCAGTCCCCTTCCAAGCAGGCACCTTGGGACCTCACACAGTTCTCCCAGCATTTCTTCTGCTGGGCAAAACACTGCAAAATCCTTTGTTGGAATCACCATCAGGTGTCCTGTCATACTTTCCTGAATCTCATCAATGGTCTGAAATCTCTTCCCTTTCAAAGGTGACTTTAGTTTTGGGAAAATCCAGAAATCACATGGTGCCAAATGTGGGCAGTAGAGGGGCTGAGTCACCCCGTTGATTTGATGTTTTGGCAAAAATCTCTGCTCAAGGCGTGATGCTTGAGCAGTCACGTTGTCATGATGAAACTGCCAGTCACCCGTTGCCTGTAACTGTGGCTCTTTGTCGTATTGCACCTCTCAGCCATTGAAGAACATTGAGGTAGTGCTCCTTATTGTTTGGCCTGGAGGGCTGTATTCATGGTGGACAACCCCTTCCCAATTAAAAAAAAACACAGTTAACATGGTCTTGATCTTGCTGTGACTTTGCCGTGCCTCCTTTGGGTGTGGAGAACTAGGTGACTTCCACTGGGATGACCGGGCCTTCGTTTCTGAATCATAGCTGTAGACCCACAGTTCATCTCTGGTTATGACTTTCTTGAGGAAATCTTGTTCTTTGGTAGCGGTTTGAATCAAGTCATTAGCAACTGCAGCACAATGTCCCTCCTGCTCTGGTAGCAGAAGCCACAGAATGAATTTTGCCATGACACATTTCATGCCAATATTCTGTGTCAAAACCTCAGGCAGTAGTTTTTGGAATCCCCAAATCAGCTTCTACTCATAGCCTTGTGCTGTCAGTCACCGATTTTTGTTGATTGCGGCCCATACACATTCTCAGGTGTTCTGCTTGTTGCAGGCCTTAGAATGTGGATCACTTTCAACACATTCTCAATGATCTTTGAAGCATTTGTGCCACACTTTTATTTGTGCTGCACTCATTGCATCATCCCCAAAAGCCTTCTTAATCTTTCAAGTAGTTCCCACGGAGGAATGTTCAAGTTTAACGCAAAATTTGATGCAGATTCATTGCTCTACCCATTCAGTCATTTTGAATGTGATGGCTACACAATACAAATGCTCACCCAGCATCTACTGCCCCCACAGACTAGTACAGTGAAGTCGTCATTGTTCATGGATGCACATTCCAGTCCACTCTTCTTGACTGCCATGTTACATCCATGTCATGCAAACATTATATAAATAATGGCTGGACTTTTTCTGGATGGGCTATTAAGGTGTGTGTGTGTGTGTGTGTGTGTGTGTGTGTGTGTGTGTGTGTGTTACTAGGTGCCAGAGGGACCCTTCAAGAAGAAGGAAGATAAATGCAACATTGTCAGCCAGATAAACTGAATCCCTCCTGATGGTGTAGAGTATAGATCTCACCCAGATCATCCCCTCCTCTAATAACCAGAACAGAGGAAATTACGACTGTGACCGTAGGATCACTGAGGCCTGCCTGGATCAGAGCAAAGCAGTTGGTAATCACGGGCCAGTGATGGCCAGGCTGTTTGAAGTATAGAAGATGTTGGGACCCTAATATGAATTCACTTAATGGGAGGTATTCTGAGCAATGTCCATAAAGGACGAATTTGTGCTTGCCTTTCCAGGTTTACCTGAGCTTCCTAAGTTTGACAATGTCTTCACAAAATTCCTCAATTTTTGTAAATATGCTGTTACTTCTCCCATCTTAGAAAACAGGCTAAAACATCAAAACACACCAAAAAAAAAAAAAAACAAACCCTAAAAACAAAAACTCTTCAACTACTTTTCCAATTTTGTTTCCCTTTAGAGCAAAAGCCAAAGGAGTTGCCTGTCTTTGCAGCTCTGCTCCCATTTCCCTCACTAGCCCACTCCAGTCAGGCCATTGCCAGGCTTTCCGCTCAGCCTGTCCTTGACTCCCGTACTAGCAAATACAGTGGTCAATCTTAAATTCTCATTGCACTTGACCTGTTCACAGCATTTGTCACTGAATTCTGTGGCTTCCAGAACTCAACCTTCTGAGGTCTCTGCCTTCCTCACTCGCCACGTTTTTCCAGGGTCTTCTGCGAGTTCTCACTTCTCTTATGTGCGAGCATCGCAGGTCCCACGGCTCATCTCTTCTCTGTCTACACTCATTCACTGACCAATTCAATCCCATTAACCTGATCCTTGAACCCTGCACTCAAATCCAGTTTCCTACTTGACATCTCCTCTTGGCTAATGTGGTAGATTATATGGTTGTTTCCAATTATTCACCGCCCTTGTGTGAGAATATTATACATCCCTGTTGAATAATCATCCCATCGCCATAGGATTTGCAGTACCTCCCACTGACATTAGGCTTGGTCATGCAACGGGCTTGGGCCAATATAATGTGAGTCTAAGTGCCATACGCCATATCCAAGCAGATAGTTTAAAAGCTATTGCATTATTCCTCCATAGTTCTCTTCCCTCTTCCATAAGGATGGTAGGTACCAAATAGGAGCTGTTTTTCAACCCAGATTCTTGAATAAAAGACACGAGGCAGAAAGGCAACCAACCC